TTAAAATGTAATTATCTACCTAATAAGTTGCCAATTGCACAGTCAAAATTTCACCAGAAGGTTCTTCTTTCCTGGAAATTGTGTTATTCCCACAATTTCACACCACATAAATGCATTTTATGGAACAACTCTGATATTAGAATTAGAAATAAATCTATTTTTCTATCCACATGGTTAAACAGAAATATAATTGGGATTCTCTCATTTTTTGATAAGTCTGGCAACTTTTGGTCTTATGAAAAATTCATGTCTAATAATAATTTTCCATTACCTTTTAAAGAATTTTTGCTGTGCAAAAAGCAATTCCTTCAATTCAACTTATAAAATCTTATTTAATTTTTATTAAAAATGTTCTTAAAGAACATGAGCTGATCCTAAATGGAATTAGTCTGTTTGACAAAAAAATGTAATAATAAATATATTCAACAAATTTTTCAAAATAAAAAAGATAATGCTCCTAAGGGCAAACTTTACTGGACATCCCTCATTGACCTAATAGACTGAAAAAAAGCCTCGTTATTACCTCATAAGTGCAGCATTTCCAATAAAACAAAAGAGGTTCATTTTGAAATTCTTCATAAAATATATCCAGTGAATAGTACTTTGGCAAAGTATTTGGAGGTTGATAGTTCATGCACATTTTGTAAAACTGAAGCAATGCTGATTCACACATTTTTTCAAAGTAAAAACACAAAAAGCTTTTGGAATAGCTTATATCTCCATATAGGTAATTACACTGCTTCTTCCAGACCCTTTCAACTACAAGATATTATTTGTTACCATAAAGGTAAAACTGATATATCAGAGAACTACATTATTTACTTTTTTATTTTGTATGAAAAATATTTTATTCACAATCAAAAATTTTCCAATTCGCAGCCTTCTTTTTCACATTTTCAAATTGAAATTGATGTTTTTATTAAATCTCTTAGACTGATTAATAACAAGAAAAGTGATAGATTCTTGGATTATTATGATAATTATTTTGGAAATATCACGGATGCATAAGTCCTTCTTTCCTCTTGCTGTATTTATGTTCTGTATGTTTCTGAATAATTTTTTTCTTTTACTTTTTCTCTCTTTTGTTTCTCTTTTTTTATTTTATTTATTTTATGTGTTTATATTATTTAACCTGATCTGTTATTATCATTGTTACTATCAATGTGTATTTTTTTATGTGTGTGTGTGTGTGTGTGTGTGTGTGTGTGTGTGTGTGTGTGTGTGTGTGTGTGTGTGTGTGTGTGTGTGTGTGTGTGTAAAATAGGATTTTGTATGTTTGTTAATGAAGTCTATAAAAAAAAAAAAAAAAAAAAAAAAAACTGAGAAAAACTATTAGGTAAGGTTGCCAAACTACTGAAGCTATGTTAGTGCTTCTGTCCTGTTTTTCGTCTATTTATTTTTATAATTATTATCACTATTTTATTATTATTATTATTATTATGGGATTAATAATTATTATGCAGAACATAAAATTAGGCTTTGGGAAACATGGTTGTATCTTCGAAAGTGCACAAATCAAAAGGGTAAAAACAACATATGTAATGGGGTTTTTATATTATAGTATGAGATTGCATGCATAAAAAGATAATGATAAGGTTAGATGTCATTGAAGAGATAAACAAGACAAAGGGGGTTTAAGTAAATTTTATTTAAACATTGTTTACACACCGTTTTACCCCTTAATTCAGTAGGTTAATTTATAATAAACATTAAAGTTATGATGCGCTTTTCAGCTGTGCTGTTTTATTTGTTAGAATTATTTGATTTCCACAATTCATAATTGAACAGTCTGATAACACAATTCGTTTGTATTCGGCTTTGCTGCTTTAAGGGCAAGCAACGTAGGCGAGAAGCCCCTGTCTGCAGCTCGCAGATCTGGGCGGGGATGAATGTGGGGCGGGGCTGCACATTCAGCCACGCCCATCTGTAATTTCATTAGTTAGTGGAAACGTAATAGCGTGAATGCCCACTACGTGGTGTCAGTAAACAGGAAATGCATGTACAATTTCTTAAATATTGTTTTTATTGTTAATAAACACAGAAATGCACAAAAGTGGACATTCTTGCTGAGCGTTTTATATGTTAATTATGTTAACAGTTATGTGAATTTCATAATGGTATTTTTCCTGCTAAAAAATATTACAAAAGACTCAAAAGACTCTTTTCACAATGGTGTCACTTCAGAAACGCAGTGATTTTAGTTCTGATATTTTAATGGTTTATCATTTTGCTTCAAAATGCAAATGCATATTGCATATTTACAACAAATAAAGATGGAGAGAGAAAAAATAAATAAATAAATAAAAATGCAGTGTTTTTAGTTCAGTTTATTTTTTTCCCTTTGAATGGAAGAGTTCTCTGGAAAATTTACAATTGAAAATATTAAAATTATACTTTGATTTAAGTCTATTAAAAATATTGGGCATGTGTCCAATTGTTTTTCTTTCAATACTGCACTGCTTTGAGTTTTATTAAGAGCAGGAATAAGCTATTATTTATTAAGGGAAGTATACGTTTGTAACCTTTTTACTTATTAAATCAGATTATTTCATCATATAATGGATTTATTTTTACTTTGATGCTGCTATGAATATACATGTATATGATCTGTTATATGTAAATGTTCCAGCATGAGTAAAATTTTATATTATTTTTTTTCATATTACATGGTGTGTCATCTATGAATGCAATCAATTTCATTATTTATTATTTACTAATCCATTAAAGTTTTGTTCAGTTACTCCATTTGAATGAAGACAGTGCTCTGCTGCCACCTACTGGGTGGTTTTGATATCTGTTCTACAATTTAATTAATAAGTTACAAATAATTTCATAATCTAATATTACTGAATTAAAATGCAGTCTTCTTGGTTTTATTTTTGTATTATTTGTAAATGCAGGGTAAATACTTTAATACCACTTTCTAATAACCCTTCTGTGTCCATTTCTGCACTGTAGATCTTTAAAAATATTTTTTATAATGATTTTGTTTGGTTATTAAGAGTCACATACAACATTGTTATTCTATTTCATTTCATTAGAATATTAAATACACTTAATATTATATTAATAGTGTGGCACAAACGGCCAGTTTTATTTATTACTTATCTATCAGGACACAAATTAATGAAAATAAATTTGACATTAATAAGTGCAGCACTCGTGTAAACTTCTGATTTTTTTTATTTGACAAATCCTGAGAAATAAATACCAACTTCATCTTCAGTAAAACACCAACACAAAGCAATACAGTCAGTTGAAAGTCCCTCTTTCTCGGTTCGAGTAAAAATCTGGCAGATCTGTGTTTTTTAGATGTCAGATGTCTCACCTACAGAACATCTGTGTTTGCACATGCACACGTACAAAAGGAAGACTGACAATTTATAGAAAAAAATAATAATAATTTAAGATACAGCAGTTTGTGATTAATATCTTTAATAAACATAAAAACAATTATATATTTTTTACAGGGAAATTCCACTACAGCATTAGTAACAATCTGCAGTAAAAAGTGCTTGGCATATTCTGTACTCTTTATCATGTGTACACACACACACACACACACACAGCCTGCTTCTTGAATTTTGGATTACTGACAATGGCTCGGCGAGGCAGTGGCGCAGTAGGTAGTGCTGCCACCTCACAGCAAGAAAGTTGCTGGGTCGCTGATTCGGACCTCGGCTCAGTTGGCGTTTCTGTGTGGAGTTTGCATGTTCTCCCTGCCTTCGCGTGGGTTTCCTCCGGGTGCTCCGGTTTCCCCCACAGTCCAAAGACATGCGGTAAAGGTGAATTGGGTAGGCTAAATTGTCTGTAGTGTATGAGTGTGTGTGTGTGTGGATGTTCCCCAGAGATGGGTTGCGGCTGGAAGGGCATCCGCTGCGTAAAAACCTGCTGGATAAGTTGGCAGTCCATTCCGCTGTTGTGACTCTGGATTAATAAAGGGACAAAACCGACAAGAAAATGAATGAATGAATGAATGAATGACAATTGCTCAGAAGGTCCTGGATGTCAGTGAGAGTTGCAGAAATGTCCCATCACCATCCTGTGTGACAACTCTCAGTAGGATACACTACAGGATCTCAGGCGGCATCTGTACAAAATAACCAACAATCATCAACATGTCGCTTAACATACAGTATATTAAAGTTAAACTCAAAGAATTAAATTTGTTTATACTAGGCATGCCCCTCCTCACATTCCCCTTTGCATAAGTTTCATGCATGGGTTATAAAGTAAAAAAAAAAAAAGAGAGAACATGAAGTGTAAATAAATATATTAAAAATTATTAAATGCACAAATCTATTAAAACAAAAGAGAGAACGAACTGAGGTAAAATAAAATAAAACAGAGAATATGCTCCACAGGAATCATAGTGATGACTATATATATCAATGCCAATGATCTGCAAACAGAATGTAGTATAGATCAGTAAGTTAAGAATCAAGTTTTATCTTGTACATATTTAGCATTAACATTACCAGAGTATATCAATTACAGAACATGCCACAAAGAAAAATATATTTTGTTATCTTTGATATTAATAAACTTCATGTGGTGGACTGTTTTGCTCAAAACTCTTTAAAGTTTACATTATTCTTCTAAGTGAATAAAACCACCAACTGTACGATCAACCTGGAAAACGCCAACCCTAACACAGAAAACATTTTTTTTTAGGCTTTAAAACTTCATATCTCCTTAAAGGCCTTTAATTAAATAAATGACACATAATACGTGAGGTGTACTGCACTATAATTTGACCATTTACATGACAGAAGATGTGTACTTACCATGCAGAGATGAAAACCGGAATCGAAAGCATACATTACATCAACGTCTGTTTCCATGAACCAATGAAAGACTTGTGGGCGTAGTGACATGTTCAGTCTCGCCCATTTATGGGCGGGGCTGCACATTCAGCTCCGCCCCATATTCAGCCCCGCCCAGATCTGCGGGCTGCAGACGGGTGTACTTGACGTAGGCACGTTGCACATAAGTTTCGTTTCTCCGCCTTTCTAGTTTCATTTCGGCAACAGACAGAGTTGTGCGTAGTCATAGCTTCTCCTTCACGAACGATGGCGGAACAAATGTCTCTGTTGGGTCTCGAAGACGAGTTAACATGCAGCATCTGTTTATGTCTATTCGATAACCCGGTAAGTTTAATATGTGGGCACAGCTTCTGCGCCAATTGTCTCGAAGAGACGTGGAAAGACAAGATTTCGTCTCTGTTCTGCCCTCATTGCCGAATGGCGTTCAGCAGTAAACCCGAACTCAAGAAGAACACTGTCCTCGGCGCGGTGCTGGATGCCTATAGAGTAAAAGCGGGCATTTCGGAACCTGTCAAGAATCCAGTTGAAGAGAAAAAGAAGGATCCAGATGCGATTAAATGTGACAGCTGTATGGAAGCCAAAGCGGTCAAAACTTGTCTGACGTGTATGGCGTCCTATTGTGAAGATCATGTGAGGCCTCACCGAGAGAATGCCATTTTCCGGGCGCATCAACTTTGTGATCCGCTGCCAGATCTAATGGAGCGTCTCTGTTCCGATCATGGCAAACTGATGGAGTTCTACTGCATTCAGCACCAGAGCTGCATCTGCAGCACCTGTCTTCAGTACATTCACAAGGGCTGTGAGTTCATCACCGCAGATGAGCGGCGCTTCAAACAAAAGGTCAGGCCCTCTTAATAAACACGGAAATGTGAATTTAAACAGCTGTAAACAAAAATACGCTCTGAAAGAGTCCAAAACTTGTATTGCCAGTGTTAGATTCAAGCCATTTGTAAACATGTTAATTGTAAATATACTTTTTGTTTGTCGTTTTTAATGATTAATTATAAAAAAGTCCATATATTAATTATTAAAAATATAAATTATTATAGTAAATAATATACTAAATTTACACTATTTAGTAGACAAGTTGTGAAGGGAGAGACCACAACAAAGGGTAACTGTTGTGTTGGGGCCCAAAAATTTACATGAAGCCTGCTTGGTTTACAATTGTGCAATTGCACTTTAGACTGCCAGGAAAGGTAGTGCCGGTCGCGATCTATAGCCCAGCCCTTCATGATTCATTCAACATGTTATTGTAATTTATCCATTCATCACATAACTTCTTTACAGCAATGAGTTATACCTCAAAGTAAAACTCTTACAGCTCTTTCTTGTTAAAAAGGCACAGCAGTGGACTTCTCCACTTCTGCGGCCATCTGACAAATTTGCTCCATTTAAGCAAATATCCCCCAAAAAATTTACAAATGTCTCACTGGATGTGAGTCTCCTGTCTCGGCCAGTCTCACACAGAGAAGGCGCTCGTTGATACTTCTTTGGAGGAGTTTGCAGATGACTCTATGTCGTTGGTTACATCCAACACGGAACAGTGGGACATGTTTGAAGTGAATTTCAAAGTCATTTCTCCTTCACAAGCAGTGTGTCCTGTAGTAGACAGTAAATTCCTTGCCAAAGGTCTGCCCGTTCTTGCCCTCAACCCACAATGAGTTTATCAAGATGTAAGCACACATCCAGTTCAGTCAGAAAAATACCTTCTTTACAGCTGCTCTCACCTGTGTTGATGACACAGTGCAAAGAGGCCATTCAAAGCTTTGCCCACAAAAAGAAACTGTCACTTCACTTCACATTATTGTCTACCTTCCGCGATGTAGGCAGGTGTTTTCAATAAGTTGTAGCCATTTGAATATAAACAAAACATTTGAATTGGTAAAACAAAACATTTGTAGTTTGTAAAATACACACTGATGTCTACAGAAGGCGTATACAATCTAATTGTATAATTCAAAACAGATTAGGGCTACACGATATTGAGAAAATATGCAATATTGTTGCTGAATATTGCATTAATGGTATTTGTTGTAATAACAGTTTTATTGAGAAATTCTATTTATTGTTAGATAAAAAAAACTGTGTGTAACGATCATACTAAAATATTTTGTGCATATAAAATATTACACATGATACCATTTTCTTAAATCTAATTTAAGCAGCAACAAAGAAAGGAAGGTGCAAAAAAGTAACTAAATAAAACACTATGAATAACTAAAAACTTTGGCAGATATGCAGATTACTTGTTTGTAATGTAATGTAATGTAATGTGTATTTATATAGCGCATTTATTGTGTATGGCCATACACCCAAAGCGCTTCACAATCATGAGGGGGGATCTCTCCACACCACCACGAGTGTGCAGCATCCACTTGGATGATGCGACGGCAGCCACAGGACAACGGCGCCAGTGCGCTCACCACACACCAGCTATTGGTGGAGTGGAGAGACAGTGATAGAGCCAATTCGGTGGAAGGGGATGATTGGGAGGCCATGATCATAAGGGCCAAGGGACTTTGGCCAGGACACCGGGGTTACACCCCTGCTCTTTCACGAGAAGTGCCATGGGATTTTTAATGACCACAGAGAGTCAGGACCTCGGTTTAACATCTCATCCGAAAGACGGCGCCCACTGACAGTGTAGTGTCCCCTTCACTTTTACTGGGGCATTAGGACTCACATAGACCACAGGTTGAGCGCCCCCTGCTGGCCTTACTATCACCACTTCCAACAGCAACCTAGTGTTCCCTAGTGGTCTCCCATCCAGGTACTAACCAGGCTCAGCCCTGCTTAGCTTCAGTGAGTAACCGGTCTTGGGCTGCATATCACAGGTTTGGTTTTACATAGATTTGTAAACAAAAATGCATAATTCTAAAACATTGTTGTTTTTTTTTATTAATTCAGCAACTTTAAACAAGAGGATATTTAAAGAAAACATTGCCTTACCTGTGATTTGTCATGTTTAAATAAAAACACATACTAATAATTCAAATAAATATAATAAACTTAAAGTAAGTTGGTAGGTAGTCTAAAAAACATCAACATTTATTCATTCATTTTCTTTTCTGCTTAGTCCCTTTATTAATCTGGGGTTGCCACAGCGAAATGAACCACCAACTTATCCGGCATATGTTTTGCACAGCGGATGCCCTTCCAATTGCAACCCATCACCTGGAAACATCCATACACACTCATTCACACACATACACTATGGACAATTTAGCTTACCCAATTTACATGTACCACTTGACTTTGACTTGTGGGGGAAACCGGAGCACCCGGAATATGTAAACTCCATGCAGAAACAGCAACTGACCCAGCCGAGGCTCGAACCAGTGACCTTCTTGCTGTGAGGCGAACATACTACCCACTGTGCCATCGTGCAGTTAACATTAACATTAAGTTATATTTTAACCAGTTTGCCATACGCAATGTCGTATGTGCATACTCAACTGTAACAACTATTTTATTCCAAGTTTTGGCAAGAAAAACAATATATTGCTTTGGTAGGCTTTAAGCATGTGCGTTGGCAGGTTATGGCAACATTTCCTGATTCACTGAAAAGTCTTTCTGAAGGTGAACTACTCGTAGGTATACAGAGATACTTCTAAGCTAGTTTACTGAGGTGTGGGAAGTCAACCTGATGGACTGTCCACCAAGTGAGAGGGTCCATCTCATTATCTATGGTCGGACACATTATGTACAGGGTGTCGGTGGGGTCTTAAAATGTGTAAAATTTCTAAAACTAAATTTTAGGCCTTTAAAAGTCTTAATTTACAAAGAATATTGTGTTTTATATCTTAAACATTTCTAAACAGGTTTTACTGTAATTTTCCTATCTCTATGAAAAGTGACTCATTCAGACTAAAATCATCCAATCAGCAGCAACCCATCTCAATAGAACAATAGAACTAAATAGATTTATTTTTAACTCTATTTACCAATATAGTTTAATAATCTCTTTTACAATAACATTTGTTTAAAAATAATGTATTTAAGGTGAGGACACTGAGCTGGAGAGACAGTTATTACATAAATTTAGCTTCTTTAAAAAAAGAAAGAAATGTTATGTTGAAAAAAGTGCATCTGTTATGAAACCAGAGTTGGCATATTTTGATAAATTATTTAAGATATGTGGCTAAGAAATAAGTAAATTAGAATTTTCTTTGATGAAGGTAGTAAAAATCGTTTCCTTTTCCATTAGAAAAAAAAATCCTATTAGTGTTTATCCCCGAATAAGTCTTAAATTTCATTGAGTCTTAAACAGTCTTAAATTTGACTTTATAAAACCTGTTGAAATCTTGTATTTAATTGTTCAATTCAGTGGATGTCTGAGTTGCAGACATGAAGAATATGTTATCTTTATCGCAATATTTAACAGCAATATCACATTTCTACCCAATATTGTGCTGTCCTACTCTCCAGAATGTGTCTGTGAAGTTTCAGGTAAAAAAAAATAATCAGATGAATTGTTATACCGTGTTATAAGGTCAGAGGGAATTGTAGCTTTTTTGCACCTGTTCCTTAAAATGAAAAGGAGCTGGTTCTCCATGTCCAATAAAAGTAGTACTCCTCACACACTCTTAGGACATTTTATTTCAGAGAAGGATAATCGGGGTCAGATGTAAGAATAAACACAGCAAAAAAAATAAATTAACAAACACTATGAAACAGACACCCACAGTCACAAATACCACAGTAAGATAAACATACTGTACAAAATAAACCTGTAAGCATCTAATATCCACTAACCAGGACTCTTTTTGTGTGATTGAAGCGTGCTCGTTTATAGTTTATATATGCAGCTTTGGTTATTACAATGTGTAATGAGTTATGTAGCTCGAAAAGTTGAGTATAATTACAAAATGTACCACTTAATGCTTCTTGACATGCAGTTGGATCACAGATAGCTGGAACAGATCTTTTAACCCCAGTTATGTGGAACTGTTTATATTCGTTATAATAATGGGACCAGATAATACGTGCCTGTTAATTAATCTTAGTTTGCAGGGAAAACAGCACTGCTACGTCTTGCTGCAGTGGGCCTCAAAATCGCTTGAATTTGGATTCTATTTTAACGTCAGAAAATTAAAAAAAGAGACTTGTTTATATCACAATAATATCAGTGTGGACACCCTATATCTACACACATTTCTGTCCATCTTCCAAATTTTTTTTTCCAAAAATGTGCTCTCAACACCTTTAAGAGAATAACTTTAATAATTGTTTATTAATTAAATTCAATTCATCTTTATTTCTATAGCGCTTTTATAATGTAGATTGTGTCAAAGCAGCTTAACATACAGTAGAAGTTCTAGTAAATTGAAACAATGTCAGTCCAGTTTTTAGAGTTGAATTTCAGTTTCATTCAGTTCAGTGTGGTTTCATTTTCACTGCTGAAAGTCTAAACACTGAATAGCAAATTCATCGATGCGCAGCTTCTCTGTCTAGTTAAGGCACTGAGAATGTATTTAAAGTGCTCTAGTCGTTTAGACAGACAGACAGACAGACAGACAAACAGAACATCTTTATGACATTTAGGAAGTACATTTGCACATCATTATAAAATACATTTTGGCTAGTAAAACTGTAATTATTTTGATATGTGAAACTGAATTAGTTACAGATTAAGTTTAATAGTTAAATATTGCAAAAGCCAAAGTATAGATAGTATTTATGTTTGAAAATATATTACAAGGGAGCTTGTTTAAATGACTTTGTTTTGGCCTATAAAATGAATAATAGTCTATCAATTACAGATGCTATGCTTAAGCTTGTCAGTAGAGGATATGCTGGATCATTAGTCAGTACAAGCACAGCAGACTCAGTTAATCCAAATCCAGCCTGCTTATGTTCTATAGAACAATCCTAATATTCACTTTTTATTATACAACTTAAGTTTTTAAATATTCTTTTCAATAAATACTTGTTTCTACATTTCATTGTTTATTGTTCGATTTTTCTTTAACTGCAGGATATAAAGTAGCAAATTGTTTTGTTTAAAGTGGAGAATGGTTTACATGGCTCATGGCTTGGATAGCAGAACTTTTCTTAGGGTCCCAGTCCTTAGAGGTAGGGCTGGGTGAAAAGATTTTCGAATACCTAATTACTGTAATACATAATTCACCCACTGGGTGTCAATCTTACATAATGCAACTTAAAGGACTTAGACAGGATTGTTTGCTGAAAAGTTTTCCTCATATTTGTGAAAACTCAGGGAACTGAAGTTGCATCTGTAACAGGAGTGCTGTTGACTGTTTAACTATGAGTAGTAATTGTGACTTGAATTGACCCAAAACAAAAAAACATAGCATCTAATTTTCATCTGATCTAATTTTGTAATCATTTATATGGGTGTTTGTTTTGAGGGTTTGGTGTTTTGAAAATGTAAACATTTAGTTGGATTGTAAAAAGTAACACCTGCTTTGACTCCCTAAAATATTTTAAAATAAAATGGTGCGAAATAAAATATTAACTCTGTTATAAAACACTTTCAGACTGATCTGACTGACAAGCTAAACATGATTGAAGGCAAAATGGACAAGAATGAACAGGTTATCACACAGATGAAGGAGCAGCAAAATAAATTAAAGGTTGGCAAATGTTTATTTTTCTTTTGTTATGTCTATTTCTGATAAAGACCGATGACAACACATCTATTTATTTACCATCACAGAAGCACCATAAGACTGAAAACTTCCCTTAAATTTCCCTTTTTATTTATTTAATTTTTTCACCAGGATCTAGCTGCCACCCGAAAGCGCATTCTTGAGGCAGAATATAGCCAGATCAGAGAAATGATCGACAGAGATGAAAAAGAGGCCATGCTGGCAATTGATAAGGAACAAGAGAGAGGTCAGAGCAAACTTGTCTCCTTGATGAAGAAGTTTAATGAGAATATTGAGAAGATGGAAAGGACCAAGTGTGAGATCAACAGTCTGCTGGACCAGTCGCAATCACTCTCATTTTTAAAGGTGATCAAAATAATTTTTTTGTGGGACCAAACCCATTACCCTGTGTAGGACACGTATCCTAGATAGAAGCCAATTGAAGACAAGCAGCTCTAATGAATGTTGTTTGTTTATTTGTATTCATGCTGTGTAGATAGAACAGTAGAAAATTGACAGGAAAGCTGGGGTAGAGAGAAGCAAATGCGAAACTCGGGCCACCATGAGAGCAATTGTACTGTAGGTCTGTGTGTTGAACGACAAGGCTAGATGACCTGACAGGGTGTTTGTATTCTTGACCTTTCATTCTCTGTTACAGGCCTCCATAGATTTGCCCTCAGTGATAAATTTTGAGCCCTATAACCCACGCATGAATTTGGACAGTAAAGAGGTGATCGCTTACCACTCCTCTGCTGTTGCACTTAAAGAGTGGATCACCAAGTTAATGGAACAGTCAACAGAGAACAGAATCTCTGTACTTAAACCAGGTGTGTTTGTGTGGGAGGATTTGGGACAGCTTTTTTTTTTGTTAATGGTTGAGCATACAGCAACACCACACATTGTCATGATGTCCATATGTTTTTACAGAGTTTGAGAAATCTGTTCTTGGCACAGGTTAGATTGTCTTTTGAACTGAATGGTGTGGAAATCTGGGATATATTATTCATATAAAAACATGATTTAGGAACATTTTATGTTGTCTAATTATACTGTTGAGATAATCCTTAATGAAACAGGTCATCTAATCCTCCAGGATACCAGTCACCTGGAATTCTTGGTGGGACTCCTGCATTCCTGCCAAATCCAAGAGATATGTGTAAGTAACTATTATGAAATTGAATTGGCTGTTGTTCATGATTCGTTATAATCTAAATCTTTCTATTATTTTTTCTCAACACATCAGCATATATGCGACCACCCTGCTCTTCCAAACCCAAGGTCCTACCTTCTAAAAAGAAAAATCCTGGTAGGTCAAATGCATACCTGGAAAAATGTTTTAGAGCTACCAATAATATACATGTAAATAAAGAACAAAACATTTGTCTCATTGTTCTTCTTGATAGACAGGAGGGATACTAAAGAGAAGCCAAACAGTAAGCTCTGACCACCCTCTAATTTATGATTTTATTGTATACTGTTACTGACATTTAAAGTTTGTCTTATTAGTGTTATGTGTAAAACATTTGATACCCCCCTGTGATTGGTTTATAGAAAGGTGTGTTCTGTGTTAATTTCTTAATTTCTTATATACATCTCGTTCTGGTTCTGTGTGTGTGTGTGTGCATGTGTTTGTATTATTTGTATGATTTTAACCTTATATGAAATACCTCCTTTGCCAGGATCCAAGAATCCCACTCAAGGGATAAATCCAGTTTTCTCCAAAAGCATGGACAACTTGAATGAACTCAGACCTAAAACTGTAGACATAATTGACATAAGTATGTGGAAAAAGTTCTTGTTCGGTGATGCTCTCTTTCTTAAACTTTGTGATTCATCATAATTCAAGAATAGACTGCAGAATCTACTGTAGAACCAAAATATGGGAACACATCAGACCATTCTCAATTGAGTCTCATCAAGGGGTGCATTTCCCATACAACCAGCATCAAACTACAATGCATTCTTTGTGAAATACATTGTCATAAACACTATAGGAATATTGTCAGTATCAGATCATTTAAGCTTATTCACATGAAAAAGTATGAATTTCTGTAATCTCCTTTTTATTCAATACATAATTGGGGTACACTATGTTTATGGGGTGGTTCATTCAGTTTCACATTGAAAATGTACACAAGACCACTTGGTTATTTTGTTTGCTGCGGCAAGATTTAAGGATTTAAACCCCAAATCAAATGCACACACCTGGCAACCTAGGCTGGCCTCGTGGAGTATTTCTATTTTAGTCGCAATATGGAAATGCATTATAGACATGTTAACACCGCAAATTTAACTGTTACCGTCAGGTAGGAGGTAGGATTTTGTGACAGGATAAGCCATACACGCAGGGCTGTTTGACACTATTCTTTGTACTTACAGAGTCAATAAAGGACCACAGGTCACATTCACACACACATCTCCGAGTGCACGCGCACACACACAGTGAACTTCTGGAGACTCACACTCCACCGTCATGACATACATTCGGTGTGCGCTATCAAATGACATTAAAACAACTCACTCTGTCCTATCAGTCGAGTCCTTACTTCCTACTCAGATCCAGCAGCTCAAAGTTTATCACGGTGGCATGAATGAAATGTTGCTGAACGAAAGTGAAACTGCTGAAAATTGTACAATTAAATACCAAAAAATAAATTACAATTTTTAAGTTCAATTTGTGGAAAGGTGTTCGATTTCTTGTGTAAAATTAAACAGGGGAGAAGCCAGTTTATAGCTTACAGTCTAGTTTATAGCTGAATATTTAGCAGTGTTTTCATGTCCTTTACGACAGTGTTTCCCACCTAGTGGGTCGCAGGAACTTTTTCAGTGGGTGGTAAAAAAAACAACAAAAGTTTAATTTTTAACTTTTTTGACTTTATTTTTGAAATGCATGCGACAACCCTACCGTTTGACATGTGAAATTTCATTTAATTATAGCAACAAATATGTTGAAGCTCAAGTACGACCCTGAATATGTAAAGTATGGATTTATATATTGACAACAAAAAAAAGAGTTAAAACCTCAGTGTGTGTCATAAATAGCGAGGTGCTCTCACAAGAGAGCACGAAACCTTCTATATTAAAACGACATTTAGAAACCAGACAACATGTTTATTAACAGTTCAGTTTAGTTCATGGTAACTGAACCTTTTCTTAACCTAACCACCGTTTACAGTTTTTGTCATTTTACTTTGTAATATTTCTATAATTTGATACATTTTGTTAAATGATAGCAATAAAATATAGTTTATTTGTAAGTCTTGGTGATTTTGTTATGATTTATCTGTCACTACTTGTGTATGTTAACAGATAAATACAAATTAATTATAATTCCTAAAATTGTATTATAGTTCCTAAAAATTTGGGTCGCGGCTTGATGACCGTGTAAAAATGTGGGTCCCATGGCCAAACCAGTTGAGAACCCCTGCTTTACAACATAGAATTCATTAAAATAGGAATAAAAGAATATTCAGTTGATTTTAAAAAGGATCTAAATTGTTTTGCATTTTGTGATTTTTTTTTTCAGTTGAATTAAAAATGTTTTTATTAGAAATATTTAGAATAAATATATTTAGCTAATATTTAAAATTATATGAAAACTATTTTCAATTCATATATTAGTAAATATTTTGCAGTGTTTGCATGTCTTTACTACATAGAATTCTTCAAAATAGAAGTAAAATATAATTTACCTGAAGTTAATTTTAAAACAATTCAGCCAAATTGTTCACTTTTTATCAGATAAACAAAAGACTATTTTCCATTCATGTATTTCATTAAGGATTTCCTAAAAATAGTTTAAAATCTCGTCTCGTCACACCCCTACTTTATACGCATGTGCACTCTTTAAATTGTTGACACTAAAATATATCTATGAAATCTGTTTTTACAATGCAATACACTTTTAAACCACAGGTTTAACCACAGGTTTAAAAGTATGCAAATGTCTGGTAAAACAGCAAAAATATTCAAATATGCCAAAAACAAGCATAGATGTGTGAAAATGTATTGGGAAATGCATCTCTAATTTGTTATCCTGGCACAATAATATAATGAAACGTTTCCTGTTTGGAGGCAGTATATTAGGCCTTGCTAAAAGCTTTGTATTTCTTCACAACACAGATCAACCTGCAAGTTCATCAGCTGTGCAAAACGTTAAAAGGAGTGATCTACTTAAATGTGAGTGAACAATAATTATACCATAGTTGGTCTTTATCTTTATCATATACATTGATGGGCTTGTGTGTTTCTCCTGTCTAGACGGCACTATTCTCCATTTTGATGTCAGAACGGCTCACAAGCGGATCTCACTCTCCGAAAACAACACCAAAGCAACAGTCTCAGACGACCCTGCGAACTATCCAGAAATTCCACATCGTTTTTCTGTTTGTTCCCAGGTGCTCTGCACAAAGGGTTTCTCTCAGGGCCGTCATTACTGGGAGATCAAAATGAGCAGTAACAACTTCTGCGGATTAGGACTTGCATATGGAAAAATAGACCGCAAGGGTCCCTCTAGCCGTCTGGGCCGTAATGCAGAATCCTGGTGTGTAGAATGGTTTAACGTCAAGCTTTCTGCATGGCACAACAGCTTTGAGACGGTGTTGGAGAATCCAAATCCAAGCCGTGTTGGCATCTTGCTGGACTGCGATCAGGGAAGTGCAACATTCTATAATGTGCAGGATCGTGCGTACCCCTTTCACACGTTTGTGTTCCCTTTTACTGAGGCTGTGTATCCAGCTTTCTGGATTTTTTCAAATGGTTCCTCTGTCTCTCTGTGCAAGCTCAATAACTGAATCAATGAAAGCCAAGGTGGTCAGTTAATTGATGTTTACTTCATCCTTGGCTGTCTGAAAGTCAAGCTAAAATATCAAGCTTCAAAAGACATCCTAAAATATACCCACGGAGGACTGTTTATGTATTAAGCACATTTTCGATTTCGCAAGGTTTGTTCTTGTGCATCCAGCAAGCACTGTTTAGCTGCTGTTGATTGCTATTAATGTCCTCTATGTGTACTGGTTGTTTAAAAAAAACACAACTCCTTCCAATTAATATCAATTTGTTTTGAGCTTTCAATAAATGGATAAAAAACTATGTATATAGAGGATGTTTATGGATGTTTCCCAGTTATAGGTTGCAGCTGGAAGGGATTCTGCTGCGTAAAATATATGCTGGATAAGTTGGCGGTTCAATCCACTGTGGCAACCCCAGATTCATAAAGGGAGTAAGCCAAAAAGAAAATGAATGAATGAATGATGTAAATAGTTGATTTGTCATGTCAATGGACATGAAACAAGATTGATATGTTGATATTTAATCAATTGTGTCAATGAAAGATAACCTTCATAGGAGTGACAGGGTGTTTGCTGCAATAAAGACTTGCTCTGTTTGTTAAATGACCAACCAAATAAAGTTAAACAAAATATGTATTTAGGTTGAAATTAGGTAAACGGAACAAGGCTGTATCAGCGTAATTCTGACCTAATTATATGTCAACAGTTTGTGAGAATATTTAACAGGCACCACACAAACACATTTGTCCAAGACTTACATGATTATTATGAATATAAACATGAATATTATGCAGAGACGATAAATAAATGCTTAAGTTGTTGATCATTGCATACATTTTGTTTGCAAATGGGACTATATTTAATCTTAGTTTGCTATCACATGGTCAAAGTCTATCTCTAGTGTACTAAATATACTGTTGTCTTGTTTCCTGAGCAAAGTTAGCTCCAGTTAGATCTTTTTTAGGCATGTGAAAATCAGTCACAATGTTAAGGTGAAGAAATCATTTTGGAATATCAGTAGCCATTTGTACCTGTAAACCAAATAAATCAATTGTAAAAAAAAATGTTGAAATGTTGTGTAGTCACATAGTCTTAAGAGACCAATCCAAATTTTGCTGAAAACTCAGTTTTTCTCTCGTTCTCTGTTGTATTTATAAAAAAAACTTGTAGTTTCAATTAGGAGGGAATGACTTGATCTTTTGAAATGTTGGTTGTTAATGTATGCAGTTTTATGTGGTTTGTGCTGAACAATAAAAGGTGAAAAATAACAACGAACCAAATCTTTGAACAAGGAAGTCTTTATAATCAAAATTCAATCAGAATAATCTCCAATTTGCACTTTGATTCAGAACTGATTTTAAATGTATACAAGTACATTTTTGTGCACATATACAAAGAAGGCAGTTACGAATGAAATACATCTCCTGGAGCAGCATGGGATGTTTGCACTATTCAAAACATTTTTGAGAACAAGCAGCCATGGGTGTTGACCGTACAACAATTAAAGAAATATTATAATCTACCCTTAACAATCTTTGTAACACTCCCAAACAGTGGTGCAGAAAGTTACTTTTAAAAGTAATGCATTACATTATTAAGTAATTAGTTAAAAAAAAAAAAAAGAAAAAAACTAGTTGCATTACTTTGTTACTTTATTGTGTAAAGTAATGCATCATGTTACTTTTGAGTTGGCTTTTCTTAGCTGGCTGAGGCTTTTTCAATTTTTCTTTTGCTCACAAAAAAAAAATTGGGTGGGATTTTCGTTTTTTAGTTGAGGGTAAGAAAACGAATAAACGACTTTAAAATTCATTATACACGTGTGGGTGGTGCTGAAACACCCTTTCCCTCTGATTGGCCAACCAAATCTGAGCTTGTGACACCCTCAAAATAACATACATACATACATACATTACATTACACACACGCACACACACATACAATATTAAGAGGAAATAAAATAATACCCTTTGTTATAGCCCCAGAGCCCAATGTGTTTTTATTCTGGTCCTGCAAACAACTGTTAAAAAAAAACTAAAGTAAACAACAAATTATTGTTATCCTATTATTATTATTTAGGCCTACAGTAGCTCTGAAACAATCATGCAAACCAGGTGCTGCTCGGAAATGTTTATTTTTAATATTGCTATTCATTTATTTTATTGTCGGATTAGTCTTTTTTTATTATGATTATTTTTATTTTATAGGCCTTGCTCGGAAGCAATCATGCAAACCAGGTTCTGCTTGGAAATGTTTCAAAGGATAATAAGGAAATTTTGCTCAGCACCAAGGCACTTGGCAGCGAACTATGACCTTATTTTAATGACAACTGTCTAATAATACTGCAAATTGATGTTTTTATTTAATTTGTTCATACACAGAGAAATCAAGCCTGCTAACTGATCAAATAATAGAAGATGTAAACACACACACACACACATATATATATATAAATATATATATATATATATATATATATATATATATATATATATATATATATATATATATATATATATATTAGAGGACTATTATTTTGAGGGCAACATTACAAGCTCAGATTTGGTAGACCAATCAGAGGAAACAGGCCTTTATAGCACCACCTACAAGTGTATAATGAATTTTAAAGTCGTTTATTCGTTTTCCTACCCTGAACCAAAAAAAAAAAAAATGAAAATCTAGTGAAATTCTTTTTTTCTTTTTTCTTTTTGTGAACAAAAGAAAAAAAAAACGAAAAACGGCCGTTTTCTTAGATTTTCATTTTTTGTTTAAAAACAGCTATGGAATGGACGGAAGATACCCTGGTCCATTTTCTCCTTGATTTTTAATTCAGCATTATATATTTCAAATATATTTCAATAAGTCAAAATATTATTACTTATTTTTTTTAAGTAATGCATTATATTACTCGTTACTTACAAAAGTAATATTATTATGTAACTTGTGTTCATTTTAATGCATTACCCACAACACAGCTCCCAAATTATTAAAATGATAAACCAGCAGATTCCCACTGAGAATCATCTTTTTTTGATAAATTTTAAGACAAGCTTTTGAAAAGTGCTGTTAAAGTTGTTGTTTTCATTACATACTCTGCTTAAGTATTTATACTTATTTGTGAAATTAGTACAATGTTCTAAAACACAAAATAATTTAACACTTTAGTTCAAAAATAAAAAAAATAAAAAAATTTCAAGATAAGCAAACACAAGTTTTCAGACATTGTTAAACCTTTTTATGATAAACAGAGCAGCCTATGGTTAAGTGTACAACTGATGACACATCATTCAAGTTAATAAGAATTTCAAGATTTTCCATGTCAGGACATAATAATAATAATCCATAGTCCGTATGGTCTTTGGAAGGTCTTAAAAAAAATTTAAACAGATAAACAACATCATGACATCTCGCACTATGGCATTATTGATTAAACAAAATAAAGTTAAGATTAAAAAAGCCATTGGTGTCAAACATGTGATTCACCATATGATTCAGATACACGTACAGATCCACTTTTGAAATTACTTGGAACTAATCATTTCTGAATGAGCTTATCAGTCTCAGATAATTCTAGAGGTTTGGAAGTTGTTTTGCACAGCTCTCTCTATAGACAGTCAGGATGAGGTCTAGACTTTAACCAGACAATTGCAACACCATTATTTTAGTTTACTTTTTTTCAGCTGTTCTCTTGTAGATTTGCTGGTGTGCTTGTGATCATTGTCTTGTTTCGTGACACAATTTTAAGTAAGCTTTGAATGTTGGACAGTCATTGTGTCAACACAATTGAGAACGCCAAACCAACAAACTGCTTAATCTTCAGTTGATGAACAATTAAGGCATTTGGTTAGCAGTGCCTGGATTATTTTTTAATGTTAATGCTGTATATTGTTGTTCATCTGAGATTAAAGTTTTCATATTTTATGACCTGCCAATGATCAGATTGCCATGAGTAAAATGAAATAGGGAAAAAATGAAATAGGGTTTCACATTCCTATGTGTGTGTATGTATGTACATAAACACAGATTTGGGGAAAGTGACTTTTGAAAGTAATGCAAAAAAAGTTCCCCAAAAAAGGAACTAGTTGCATTACTTATGGTAAGTAATATGTTACGTTACTTTTGAGCTACTTTTTCATACCTGCCTGAGATTTGATCTCTTTCAGAACTTGCAGGGTATTTATTTATTTATTTTAAATAGAGGAGCTCTGCATTTGACGATACACTTTACAACCTACATCTTTAATTACCTTTAAATAAATAAGTAAAAAATGATTAGAATTTTACCTTCTGGGAACTTCCTGACACTACTCATGCCATATATACAGATTAATGAAAGTTGAAGCAATTCAGTAAAATCACTGTCTACTAAGACTATCTCTATTCTTCCATGTGTTCAAAACAAGAATACTTCTGTCACAGAATATAAGGCTCTGCCATCTGTTTCTGTGTTCCCACGGTGAGCTAATTCCCTCATTGAATGTGATTTAACGTGATTACACTCATTTTAATTCAGCAAATTCTTTTTAAAAACTAATTAATTCATTTAAAATGTAACTCAAACATTATTACTTGATTTTTTTAGAAAAAATAATATTGTAACGTAACTCACATTACTTGCAATGTGTTACCCCAACACTATATAAAGTTGAAGACAGAATTATTCTTCCCGATTTATTCTTTTCCCCATTTTCTGTTTAACAAAGAGCAGATTTTTTCAACACATTTTTAAACATAATAGTTTTAATAACTTATATCTAATAACATATTTATTTTATCTTTGCCATAAAAGACAGTAAATACAAATTGACTAGATATTTTTCAAGACACTTCTATTCAGCTTAAAATGATTTTTAAAGGCTTAACTAGGTTAATTAGGTTAACTGGGCAGGTTAGAGTAATTAGGCAAGTTATTGTATAATGATGGTTAATTCTGTAGACTATCTAAAAAAAATTGCTTAAAGGGGCTAATAATTTTATCCTTAAAATTATTTTAAAAAAATAAAAAACTGCTTTTATTCTAGTCGAAATAAAACAAATAAGACTTTCTCCAGAAGAAAAAACTATTATCATACATACTGTGAAAATTTCCTTGCTCTGTTAAACATCATTTGGGAATTGTTAAAAAAAATAAAAAAATAAATAAATAAAGGGGGGCTAATAGTTCTGACCTCAACTGTATATACACACACACACAAACATTTTTCTTTGTGTCGCAGTCTTGTCTCTTGAAAGCCGTTCAGCTCCCAGAAAAGCATTAGTCTATCCTTCACAATCAAAGAAAATGACTTTAAATATGAAATGAAATAAATTTAAACAAAGTACATTAGAAAAACCATGATTTATCACACTTACAGCAAGGTTGGGTCAAGTGACACATTTGTTCCTATGTACCAAAAGAAGATTCATAAATCTAGATTTGATTAAATGAGTCAATGACTTCATGATAAAACATAACTCCTGAACTGACAGTTTATCAAGAGATCACGTCAAATATAGTCGTCCAAATCATTGTCGAGTCATCAATGGGACTTAATGATATCATGGAACTTGATATCATGGAACAAAGGATTAGGTGGTGAGGAAAGAAGGGGAAACTACAGCTGCACTGAATACAGAAAAACTTGGAAATCCAAAAACCTATTAGGATGGTTATGTTTTAAGGAAAATAAAGTGATTTTATAAAAGCACATTTTATAAAACTATAACAACAAATCACTGCAGAATGGGAGAGAATCAATATCTAAACAACAAAGTATACAAACATCACAATCAGGAAAAAGAAAATAATGGATGAATGATATAATAATCAGTGCTCTCTGAAAGATTTGACTTCAATGAAACAGTGTTAAAAAAAATATAAATGGAACGTCCATCCAAAACCTCAGTGCAAATATCTTTCACAAAACATAAAACAAAATTATTGCACAGCTTCATTTAGACAACTCAAATACTAAAGTTCTGCAGTGAGTCGTATGCACTCAAGCCTATGGCACTCAACATTAGTGCAAAACATTCATATCTTAGCATTTTTCTGTGTAACATTCTCCATTGAACTGTTTTAATGATTGCCTGAGCTTTGCTTACAGCTAAATAAGTTTAACATTTTGGATCATTAAGGGCAAATACCTGAGCCACTGAGAACATTGGGGTAATACTCCCTCGGACAAACAATACATACAAATCTATATCTTGTATATGGAGAGTTCAAAAACAGCTGGAGCTCATTTAGAGGGGGCATAAAGTGATGACTCCCCCTAAACTTGTGTCAATTTACCTTGTTTAGTAGAACATTAAAGAAGACTTTTAGCTGAAATCTCAGTGCCTTGGTGATTCACAAAAAGTAATTCATTGCCACACTTCAAGAGTTAAAAATTAGGTTTCCTAAAAACTGATTCAGAATAAAAACAAAATCATTACGTCCTAATGGGCAATTTGCAGAAACTGCATTAAAGGTAATAATATAAATCTTTCATCCATTTCACATCCATTTTCAAACAAAAGAAGGAAAACGTAGAAAACGGCCATTTTTAGTTTGTTCTTTTGCTCACGAAAATGAAAACAAAAAAGATTTTGTTTTTTTTGATTTAGGGTAGAAAAACAGATCAACAGCTTTAAAATTCATTATACAAATGTACCCGGTGCTGAAACGCCCTTTTTCCTCTGATTGTTCAACCAAATCATTCTTAAAACAATAGTCCAATACATCTACACATCTACACATCTACACACACACACACACACACACACACACACACACACACACACACACACACACACACACACACACACACACACACATATATATATATATATATATATATATATATATATATATATATATATATATATATATATATATATATATATATATATATATATATATATATATATATATAATTAAAGGAAATAAACAAGGAAAATAATTAAAAACAAATGGTACCCTTTGTTATAGCCCCAGAGCCCATTGTGGACTTGTTCTGTTCCAGATACTATAAAAAAACTATTAAAAAAAACTAAACAATTAAAAAAATACTAAGTAAAAAGTATTAATTATAGTTATTATTAAATTAGCCTATTATTATCATTATTATTATTATTATTATTATTATTATTATTATTAAGGCCTCCAGTAGCTCTGGAACAATCAAACAGAATTCCAGGTTACTCAGCATCAGGTGCACAGCAGCAGGACATTTGGTGGAGAAAAAGCAATCTTATTATTATTATTCATTAATTTAATTTTTGGCTTAGTTCCTTTATATTATTATTATTATATAGGCCTTGCTCGGAAGCAATCATGCAATCTTTGCTCAGCATTAGGTGCACATCAGCAAGATGTTTGGCAGCAAACTATAACCTTATTTTTATTGACAAATATGTAATACTACTGCTAATTTAAGTTTTAAATTATTTTATGCATATGCAATCAAAGCCTAACTAATCAAATAATATAACATGTAAAATTAGTTAGCCTGGTAGATAGCTAATCCACAGTGGACTATTATTTTGAGGGCAACGTCACAAGGTCAGATTTGGTTGACCAATCAGAGGAAAAAGGTGTTTCAGCATCGCCTACATGCGTTTAATGAATTTAAAAGTCTTTTATCCGTTTTTCTATATATATATATAAAAAAAATAAAAAAAACCACCCACAATCTTGTTTTTTCAGGGGGTTTGTTTTGTGAGCAAAAGAAAAACCAAAACCATCCATTTTCTAGGTTTTCCTTTTTTTGTTTGAAATAGGATATATAATGGGCAGAAGATATCCTGATTAATATAACATACTGTTTAGTTTTGCCTTTATATTACTATTATAGTTAAATTATATTACTAAGTATGAATGACCAAAAATCAAGGTTTCAGCTGAAAGATTTTCTTATGCTCTACCGATGTAAAAAAAAACAACAATTATATACATATATTTGTTTATCATGAATGGAAAGAGGGCTACTAAAATAACAGCAATTTTTCACTTTTGGCTGAACTCTTTAATCTCTTTATGCTTGAAAGCGAATGGGCTTAAAACTGTCATCAGTAAAGATCACTGCAGATGTTAATAGTAGAGCGGCACGTGCACTTTATGTATATTTACAAACACTTGTCACATTAGGGTGTCGTCCATCCTACTATCTGGGGAGGAAAAAATACAGTGATTATAGCCTTACGAAGACTCGGTTTGCGGAGCATTGCTGGATGTGTCGATGTGATCTTCAACCTCTGATGCACTGGAATCATCATCATCTGTTTGTTCTGTACTGTGGTAAAGCATGAGGGCCTGGGTCTTGTGAGTAATGGTTATAGTGCATGGACCCTGCGCCCATGGCTCTCCATCCACCTGCATTGGCATCCGAGAACTCTTCAATACCAGCTGCCACAAAAAACAAAGGATAATAATCAGATTTTCAGTTTTCTGTTGCTTGTTGAGGGACAGTCTAAAATGTTGGAATGAATAAAAATGCTGCACCATCATTTCTTCCCTCGTCCGATATTATATTTGTGAAATGGTTTCTCAAATGAGAATTTTGAAATCTTGCCGACTTCAAAGGTGCATACAATAACCTTTACCTTATTAAATGTATGAAACTAAATGCACAAAATGAATGACTTGACAAAGTTTCAGTCACTGCAACTTACAAATAACAGAGCACCAATGCTGAAAATGACATTTAAATTCTTTATAATAAAAATGTGAAGCCTCAGGTTTTTTGCATCCTATGTGGATCCTTTGCATCCTTTTTAGTTGTTACAGTATGTTTAGTATTGCGGTTTGACACTTTTATTGTTAATAGACAAGCTAGGTCAACAAAAGACCCCCGAATGTTTATCTTTTGCGGTACAAACATTACATCTTCCCAACTGCATATCATTTACATTAAACCATTAGGAATAGCTCTTGTCCAAAGCCACTTACAATCGAGGAGGCATTCAGCAATTCAACAAGAAGAGGCAGCACACACAAGAAGTGCTAATTATACAAAGGAACTGTTAAGCCTGCTTTATACTTGAACATAACCCACTGTGCATGTCTTGTGCGTAGTCGTGCATTTATACTTCTGTGCGCTGTTTGTGTTTTGCAATAACACTTCTGAAATACTAGCTGGCTGGCAGTAGGTTTTTTTATGTTCCTCTGTATCGAGTTTTTTTTGCTGGTGTTTTGTTTTATCCTTAATGTACAAGTAGCTAAAACTCTCTCATTCTGAGGCGGGAACCGGCGGATATGCAAAAACTTTAATAATAAGGTAAACACAAAGCAACAGTTTCTACCTGGAGCTACTTCACAGTACTCAACACTTGTAAACACTCACTTCAACAAGTTTGCACAGCTCTCCCCTCGCCCACACTTGTCATCGCTACCAAGCTTACCAATCATTGTCATTGAGAGGTACATTTTTTGAGAGGTGTACATCACAGCCAGCTATGCGACCGCTTGAAGGCTGCGCCTTATCATACACTTGCCCTTGACGCAGAAGTATAATTCAGGGTATATATATGCCAGAGTAGTTTTGTTTTTGTTTGTTTTAGAGAGCGAGAGTTTGTCAAGACTATACACCTGTGTAAAGCACACTTCATAAATGGACAGTGAAAAACTGGTAGGAAAAAAGTGCCGATTAAAATGTCACAGAGAAGATAGAGTGTGTTTTCTACAGGTGGTTTGTCATGCCCACTCACCTGTGTGAGGCATGCTCAGAACTGATAACGGGGTTTTGTTCACAGGAGTACACTTGATCGTGGGATTGTTCTTAGTTGTCGTTTGAATGATACAAGTGAACCAGCAATTGCAAACATTTATTAATTTTCCTTCAGCTTAGTCACTTTATTAATCAGGGGTTGCCACAGCGGAATGAGTCACCAACTTATCCATGTTTTACACAGTAGATGCCCTTCCAGCTGCAACCCAGTACTGGGAAACATCCGTACACACTCATTCACACACAAAAAAACAACATACAACCTAAACCCGCAGTAGCATTCTGAATGGCACAGAGCAGTAAAGATTGAGTGACACTTTTCATTTTAGGTCACAATATTTTGGCCATGTGGTTTTTCACACCATTAATGCTGTTTTAATAAAGAACATGCTTATGCTCTCACCCGGACTGTATGTGCTTGTCCCAGCCTCACAGGATTGGCCAGTTTCACCTGGATTTGTGCACAGTGGAATGAGCCATACACCCCGACCACCTCTAATAAACCATCATCAACTCTGAAGAAAGAAAATTTTAAGCCAGCAGTGTTTTTAAATGACATTCTACTATGATATAGACCTATAGGTTTTGTGTCTGTGTTTTTACAAAGTAAAAGCTATTTATAAGTCTGTAGATCTGCATTCTTACCGGGTAGGAGGATAAGGTTCATCTCCCATTCCTTCCCAGAGTCTACAGCCACCACCCCAGTTGCCGATGTTACACACGATTATACCCTCCAGGTTGGGTAAAGTCACTTGCTCTCCATCTAGCTCCAGCTGAATACACATAAATAGCCAATCAAAATGTGATAACATAATACTCTCCTTAACGGTAGCTATAGAGGAAACCATACATTTCTTAACTCTGTAATAAAGTATATTAATATAGCAAAACACACACTTATGTCCAGAGCTGCTGTCATGCTGTTACAGCACACTTTTGCAGCAAGAGAATCCCACAAACTGCATTTTGTGCTCACCTTTACCTCCTAGGGCTTGAGTGTCCACATTTGTGGACAGCACATTTTAGCACATTTTGGGCTCTATTTTGACGATCCATGCGCAGATCGCAAAACGCAGGGCGCAAACGCTTTCAGGGCGTGACAGAACGCATTTTTGCTAAATTAAGGACGGTAAAATTTGCTTTGCACCTTGGCGCATGGTCTTAAAGGGTTGAGTTTATTTTCTTAATGAGTTATAGGTGTGTTTTGAGATTAAACCAATTAGAGTCTCATCTCCCATCACCTTTAAGAGCCAGCTGCGTCGCGCCAAGAGCGCATTCGCTATTTACAGGACGTAAAGTAAGTCTAAGTGGAAAAAATGAGCATTTCACTAGCAAACAGTTGACAGTTTTTTTTAACAGAAAACTGTTAAACAGAGCATCTACTGCGTGAGAATGAGAGATAATGGATGTACTTTCACTTTCGCTCTTGGATAGGGAAACCTTTATGCATAGACATCAATTAGTCTATAAGTAAATAATTGCGTTTGTTAAGCGCAAATATTCGTTTCAAAACTATTTCTAAATTCAGTTCTAATTTCCAGCAAACGAATAAATGAACAATAAAAACGAAGCGTGCTCAAAAACCTGAGTTATATCCTAAAACATATGCTGCACTCCATATGGTCTAAAACTATACAGGTGGGCAAATCTAAGCTTGTTTTAATAAAACAAATATAAATATGGATATAATAAATAATACTAATAATAATAATTACATTATACAAAAGCAAATTGTTATGAATGAACTGAAAAAGCCTCCTGAGATGAAGAAGACATAAAAGCAGTGATTTTTCATATTTATGTGGGCTAGAAAATAATGTTTTGTAATAATTTAATCCTTTATATTTATATCCTATATTCTTAGTATATCCTATATACAGTATATCCTTAATATTTAAAGTTTTTCATATGTAAAGATATTTGCCTATTGCTCTCGTGTGCGTATTAAGCAGTGCGTAAGCGAGGCGCAACTCTGCGCCGGAGTTTAGATCGGGTTTGTTTTGGTCTAATGAAAAATCTATTGTAGTTTCTCAAAATAGCAACGCGCCAGCAGTGCGCCTCAGAACGCCTTCCTTTTTAGACCACAACGCCTATGGGCGCACAAATGAGCGCTAATGCATTTGCTATTTAAAAAGCGTAGCGCAACGCCTCAAAACGACTCTTGCGCCAATCTGAAACTATCAAAAGACTATTGCGCCGCGCCTTGCTCCACATTGCGCCAGGTGTATGATAGGGCCCTTTATCTTAAGTCTTAAGGCCCAAGGTTTTTTTTTACAAACATTTTTAATTTCTTTTTGAGATTTGGGCTTATTGAAACCTAATTAGAATAGAAACCTAAGTATCATCTTTTGATATGATGTACTTTTAGAGAAAAATGATGTCCATATATGTGGACTCGTGATCTGAATTTATATAAAACACTTTTTCCTGACTGTTTTTTAATGCATATATAACATAGATTATTTTTTAAAACTTGTTTTGACTATCAGAGTAAAAACAAAATTTTTTCCCATTTTGGACAGTTAAAAAACTAGGGTTTGTGACATTTAATATGCTGCAAAACAGTTGAAGGATGACAATTTATGTCTTTAACAAAATATAAAACATTCAAAGTATTTTAAATAGTAGCTGATAAAATACCTGAAACCTGTTTGTCATCATTTTTGCAATTCTGTGCTACTAAAATTTTTAAAGAAAGAAACTCCTATTTCCATTAAAGAACCAAGAATTAATAACCTACAATTATAATACGAATCTATTTCTTGATACTGTTTATTAAAGATAACAGATAAAATAATTATACCTATGATCTTTCTGAAAGCTAAAGACTTCCATTAAACACTATGACAGTAAGAAATACATTTCTCAGAGTTTACTGTATGAGTTGTCTGTATATTTACCTCAATCCTCTTATCCAGATCTTTACATTCTTGGACAAGACAATCTTTGGTCCCATAGAGGAAGTACACTGCCTGTGAAAAATGAGGAGGGGGGACTTAGCATAAGCCATGAATGTACAAAACACTTTTGTTTTTAATGAACAAAGGGCACATGTTATCCATAGAGCAAGAAAAATGTGCAGATGTATACTATAGGCTTCTGTACAAAGAAGTTAATGATACTTAATATCATGTGAGTTTTTTTTTCTTTTTAGATTTATAATACAGCACCAGCATAGTGACATTTCATCCAGGTTAAAAAGTATTTTAAGCAAAGGATATGCAAGTACATTCTCATAGGCTTTCTAAATTTACTTTTCCTTTAAGTTTAAAAATAAAAAGACAGACAGGCAAAGCCACAGACCTTATTGATTATTCGGCTGGAGAAAAAGGAGGGTGTTTTTTCTCTGTGCACATGGAAGTTTAGTGCCATGAGAGCATCAGGACCCACTGAAAAATAATTATTCATGGACAATACCTGGCAAGAAAGCAACATTGAGCTTAAGTTCACTTTGCATAACCACTTAATGATCCAAAAGCATCATAATTGATTAAATGACAAAATCACATACTTTTGTCATAAATCACATAAATTTGTATATGTGTGTGTGTGTGTGTGTGTGTGTGTGTGTGTGTGTGTGTGTATATATATATATATATATATATATATATATATATATATATATATTTTTTTTTTTTTTATATATATACATATTAAATCAATATTGAAATATTTTTATATAAAATCATTCTATTTCTATGCTGTTGTAAAATATTCCTGCTTTTTGATCATATGCTAACCTTTGGCTTACGAAAATAGTTTCCTTTGGAGGCAACTTGAACCTTCCACCTGAAACATTCAGAGCAAAACACAAAATCAAGATCAAGAAAAAAAAGTATGTCAAACTTCAGCCCTCACAATAAAAAAACCTTACAGAACAGTTAAAATCTCACCTGTCCATCTTAACTACTTCAGCCTCTAGAACGTTTCTGAGGACTTGTTCCACTGGAATCTCTCCAGCGTATCCTGCTCCCCATCCCAAAGAGTTTGATAAATCATTGCCAGTGCCCAATGGCAAAATGGTTACAAGAGGGATAAACTGATCTTGGCCCTATACAGAATATTCATAGACAATATATTAATAATGGAAGCAACAACAAATTGCTTTACAGCACAGGAATTAACATCATAATGTGAACACAATACATCACACAATGACTTAACACATTCTACAAGCCAGGTCACATTCACACACAATCATTACGTAGTAAAGCATTAAAACGAAAAGAACAAAAGCCTGGTTTACATCTACAATGGCCTGTAATCCAACGGGGTTTTGTCCTCATGGAATTTACATTCCACAAGGAAACAATGGTGTCTAAGGCTCACCATTTCTATATTCTGATCTTTTATTATTTGACTATGACCAGGTATATCCATATTTTCTTTATAGGGCACCTATTTATGTATTTTTTACATATTAAAAATATGTGCAATAAATAAACTTTCACTCGATTATAGTTAAACTTCACACTGACTCTGCAAATCTTGCCTTCTGATGCAGATGTACACATCAAAACATGTCACGTCAATGCTGACCCAATATATTGTGCAGCCCTAATCCACAACTATGAATTCACTGAACTATTCATTCTGGACATATCTCACCTTCAGCTTCATGGTATCAATGGCATCCAGAACCCACCCTACTGTGCCATCTCCCCCACACACCAGAACACGCACACTCCCAGGAGGCAGAAGGGTACACAGCTGTAGGGCTTTAGAGGGGGGCAGCTCAGAGAGATCAAACACCTTGAAGAAAAAAACAACCCCCAACTACTGTATATCATCTTCTTAAATCATTACATGTAGCCTGGGAATAATAGCAGAAATGGGATTTATTATTCAATAAACAGTGACAGAAACAAGACAGCTTGTGAATATAAACACAGAATAGATCTATACCTGCACAGGGTTCAGAAGGGTACGAAATTCTCCCAGCAGAATTTCCCCCATGTTGTTGCCACTTCTTGTGTTTGCCAAGACCAATACAGGAGTCCAGCCACTCCCATAGACTGCAGCAAGCTAGTACATACAAACAAATTATGCGTTTACTTACAACCCTAAAACATAAAAGGTTGGGACAGTATGAAATACACAAGTAAAAAAAAAAGAAAGTACTAATTTCTAAATTTACTTTTATTTGTGATTACTGCAGACAATACAACAAACATTATTTAATGTGTTCCTTGTGTTTTTATAGTTTTTTGTTTGTTTGTTTCAAAATAAACATGTATTCCAATTTTGGTTCTTGCAACACATTTCAAAAAAAGTTGAAACGGTAAAGCATTTACCAATCTGTAATGTTGCCATTCCTTTTCAAAAGAGATTAAAGGTGGTTAAAAACTGAAGACACCAAGTGATGAAGTGTTTCAGGTGTAATTTTGGCCCATTTTTTTCTGCAAACATGTCTTAAGGTGGGCTACAGTAAAGGGTCTTCTTTGTTGCATTTTGCACTTCAAAATGCACCACACATTCTCTATTGGACACTCATCAAGACTGGAGGAAGGCCAGTCCAGTACCTTTATCCTCTTCTTCCGCAGCCAGGACTTCATAATGTGTGCAGAATGTGGTTTTGCAATGTCTTGTTAAAATATGCATGGGCTTCTCTGTACTAATTAAAATACTGATTCATCTGACTCCAGCACATGCTTCCACTGTGGCATTTGTGGATGTAACTACTTATTGTGGTAATTGACAAAGGTTGGTACGGTGGTCTCTAATAGATGAATCACGATTATTGATGCAGTACTGCCTGAGGGATCAGAGATCATGGTTGTTCAGCTTAGGCTTGCGCCCTAGTCATTTACGCAATGAAATTCCTCCAGATTTCTTAAAGTTTTTTAATTATGTTATGCACTGTTGAAGGTGAAATATCCAAATGTCTTCCCATCTTTCTTTAAGAAACATTGTTTTTAAACATTTCAATAATTTTATCATGTATTTGTTGGCAAACTGGCATTCCTTTGCCCATCTTTGCTCCTAAAGGACTAGACCTTTCTTGGATGCTGCTTTTGTACCACGTCATATTTACAATCACATGTTGGCATCTCCTGTTTTAAATTACATCATTTAAATCACATATACCACATGTCTTTGGGGAACTTGTATGGAAAACTAGGAAACCCACACGAACACGGGCAGAACATGCAATCTCCACACAAAAATGCCAGCTGACACAGACGAGGCTCAAAACAGCAACCTTCTTGTCCCTGCGTCGCCTTTGATAGCGTATTGTGGCTGGAAATATCACGATATATTGGCATATTGATATTTTGTCCTACCCCTATTAGGACCTGAGTAATGTTTTAGTTTTTTAATTGCCTTTGTTTCTTTTTTCATCAAAGTTTTTAAAATATTCAGTCTAGTACTCTAGTTTGTTATTTACTTAAAACTGAAAATATTCAAATTTATATGCATATAGAATTATTTTGTTAGGTTTAATGTGGAAATACCTTCATTTTAAGTAAATTCTTTTGTTGGTTTTGCACAAAATGAAATAAAGAAACAAATTCTGAAAAAACATTAAAGATTAAAATCTATTAATTTTTTCATAACTTCATACGTTATTCTTACATGGTAACACCTACTGTTTACCATTTATGGACAAACAAGTAAACCAGCAAAAACCCTTTAGTGCAATATGACTTTTAGAAAAAATTGCTAAACAGACCTTTGTGAAGTTGGCACCGCATAAAAATAAATAATGTCCAAAACTATGCTATTGGTTTGTGCTATGTTTATGCTGATTTGTGCTATTAAAACAAATGTTGGTTTGTGTCTGAGATATTAAGCAATTTTTTGACTGTGACATCACTTTCTACCACATGATGCTCAAATTGCTCCAAATCAGCACAGTTCCTTTGTACTTTATTTCTACAGGTTTGTGCCAATAAAACAAACACTTTATCTATTTTCCTTGTTCAGATATAGCCAAAATATTTTAAAAGCTGTGACAACACTTTCCACCACAGTTCCTTTAAATCGCACAAAACTGGAGTTATTCATATGTGCTCAATTTGTGCTAGTTTGTTCCGTTAAAATTAACTTCAAATATATTTGTGCACAAATGTATTATTTTCGATTGTGCTCTAACTGTTTTTGTGAAGCTTTTTTTTTTTTATAAAGAAATAATAATTATAGGTCATTCAAAGGTCTCTCTGGCCCCCAGCTTCTCCTTATTAACTGAAAAAGTCTTGCTTGAGTGTTTTTCATTTGTGCTGGTTAGTACCTATTAAAGTTTAATTTGTGCTGCTTCTATTATTAAACTATTGCATGTTGAATTAAAGACAATGACATCACCAGCCACCACACATTATATTCTAAAATATTGTAATTTGTTTGTGCTGGTAGAATTTTTGGTCGTGATGCTTTGTTTTTTTTTTTATTCCGAGTCACCATAACTAGCCTATTTTCTAGCCAGCTTTAACAAAACCAATTCAGTAAAGCAGTAATATATAAATTATAGTTATGTAATAAATAAATTATATTGATTATACAGTATAATTTGTATTTTTTTTTCTCTTGTAAAGGATTCATTTAGAGGTTATTAGTTCACTTCATGGTTTTTCTGAGACAAATCTAACTAAAATGTGAATAAACAAACAACATCTTGGTGCCTGCTACAGGCTTTATTAAACTGGCTTTATTTATAGTCAGATAAAGAGCCGCAAAAAAGCAACATGCAACGACACAGATGAAATTATTTTTTTTATTGCTCAGACAATATATATTTTTATCAAATGGCAACATTAAACAGCAGAAGCATTTTGCACCCGTGGGAGCCTCTCTGTGAGAGGGAAAATAATCAATAATAAAAATAAATAATCAATGTGAGAGGGAAATCGCAGAGCCCGCCTTGTGAACTTGTAATGTTTGTAATGTAATGTTTGTGGGTGGGTCATATCACCTGAGATGTGGTGCCTATAAAAAGTCCAACATTTCACATGAGAAGAGAGCTTAATTAGTCGGGCCTCCCTGCCTGGCGTTTTGATTATTATAGTATGTTTTGGATCATGAGCTCAGTTCACTACCATGATATCACTGCACACACACACACACACACACACACATCTGATCTGATCTGACAGCCTTCACAGCAGCACGGGGGAGAGGTGCGCCAGTCACTGAATGCAGCATAGGTGTTCTCAACTCACCGACACATTTTGTGTTTATATTATGCTCTGTGTTTGTCATGAAGTCATCTGTGGTTACTGCTCGGGTATGGTTAATGCTCAAAATCTGACTCCGAGGGCAAATCTGACTTCGCGCCTGCAGTTAGTTTGAAACTCACAGCGGTTCATCATAAACTTTTCATCGATCATTTTCCCTACAACTGACAGCAAGAAGGAACATAGAAGCATTGACTGGTTGACAAGCAGCACTTACATGTGTTCAAAAGAATCGAAAACACCAAACAGGATAGATTTATGCTGCATTTTCTAAAGTAAAACTTACTATCTGTTTTTAGCTTTTCGAACTGTCAAAACATCTCTCAAAATGCTTTTTTTTTTTACTTTACATGTATGTACATATGTACATTACTGCAACACGTTTTATTCAAGAACATTTGAGCTGGTTTTAGACCTTAGCTCTTTCATTCAGATTTTATTTAAAATACCTATTATTAACCTATTATTTATATGCAACACTCAAATTGTATGTAACCGAATAGGTTATCTGTTATCGATATCGGCCCAAAAATTCATATCGATGCATCCCTTGTCTCTCTTATGGTACAACTTTAAGCCGATTGTAACATATACAATAAGCTTACAGTAAAATAATGATATTAACCTAATAATAATATTGATTTCATAACTGCTGTGTATCTGATGTGCTTTTCAGAGTCTGAGAGATTTATGTGGCCAGATGTAGGCTAAGTGAAATAGTTTTCACAAATCAGATAGCTGTCCAATCAGAGAAAATTCATGAATTCTCCATTTATAAACAGATCCAAAGGAGTTTAAGTCGTTAAATAAGTAAATTGAGTTGTCTAAAATCATATGAAATTTGACTAAAATAAGAGTGAAGATAAAAAAAAATTCAGATGACTAAAATATCACAAAAAGTATATGTTTGTCTTCTATTAAAGTAAATCAACAAAATTTCGGTCAAAATTACACAGCTATACATCCTGTGCTGAAAAAAGCACACTGCAGCAATTGATGTGAATATTCATTCATCGCAACCCATCCCCGGGAAACATCCACACACATTCACACACACACACTCATACACTATGGACAATTTAGCTTACCCAATTCAACTGTACCGCATGTCTTTGGACTGTGGGGGGAAACCGGAGCACTCGGAGGAAACCCACGCGAATGCAGGGAGAACATGCAAACTCCACACAGAAACGCAAACTGTACCAGAGACCTTCTTGCTGTGAGGCAACAGCACTACCTACTGCGCCACTGCTTCGCCCTAATGTGATTATTTTATGTGATCATTATAGTAGCCTATTATTTTTATTGTCGGTAATTATAATAATAGTATTTAATTAATTAATTTTTATCTTAAACTGGCTTACTGAAAATGACAAGTGCTTCTTCTTAGCCAATTTACAGTAGTCAGTATCAACATAAAATCTCAGGGAATAAAAGTTAAATACATAATAGAGACGTTCTCAATTTATGACTCCTTATCCACAATGATCAGAAAACTGACAAAACAGGCTCTGTGTCCAAGTCAAACTTTTGAACAGGAAAAAAAATCTGATCTGTTATAATAGCTGAGAGATGTATCCCCACCTTACTGTACTCATCAGGGTGTCTTCGGCGTAGCTTGTTGACTTGATAGAGATAACATGGAGGTATGATGACAGAGTGGAACTCTCCAAGATCACACAGATCATCGGTCAGACTGGAAAGACAGTCATCATGCACTGTGGTTTGACACCATACACACCTGTTCCCAAACAAAAAAAGCAAATGCAAAGCTATTATACTATATTACACTGAAATTGACACTTTCTTAAATGCAAATTCTCTGTGTGTAACCTCTTAGTAACTACAATTCATAGATAATACAATCTTCATAAATCATGATGAAATACAACAATTTGCTTTTAAATAATTTTAAATAAGTTCTTGCTTTGTCTGGAAAAATCTCAAAAGTAAACAGAAAAGTAAAGGTTGTCTTCTAATGACACTGATGAGATTCTCATGAGAAACTTTGTAAGACTTGGTTTGCTTGGGTGTCATTTTATGTGTAAATAAACTGTGTGCTTTTAACCAACTTTTTTTCACTTTTGATGTCATTTCTAGTGAGAACATAGCACTATAGAAAGCAATTATTTCCTCAGTTATCACCAAAGTGCCCTTTAGAGTAACACTTTACTGTTACAGGGGTACTCATAAGACTGTCATGAACCCTTTATAATCATGACACATCATATGTTATAAATATGGTAGAGATTTTATAGTAAATACTAAATGCTAATAGTCGCAGAGTTTAGGTTAAGTCCCGCATTGCAGTTTGCACACGCTACAGTAGCTGGGGTATATTTCCTTTGACCCACTGACATTTGTTATAAAAATGGAAGAGATTTTATAGATGCTTATGACTATGTTAAGTGGCACTCGCTTAGGTGTGTAATTTTAAATGCAATGATGAAAATGTTTGACATGTCTTTGTTATGAAAACCTTACAGAAACAAAAGCATCTGTCTTTATTTTGAAAACTTAACATTACCAAGTCAACATAGCTCATCTTAAATCTGTCAAAACATGATCATTATAGGCCATTATTATTGTCAATATTTTCCTGATCACTTTTTCAATGGAACAAAATTACTTTGGCATTAAATTTTCTTATTAAAAGTGTCATTACTCTGTCAATTTATTATTTAATGACAAATTAGTTTTGTACCACTGTAGTTAAAGTAAAAAACAAATGAAGCTGTTAAATGACACAATGATAATGACATCATGACGGTCAGGTTTATGACTGATTTATGACTATTTTTGCTGTCTTGGTAATGTTAAGTTGTCATGACAAAGACATCTCAAACAATGTCACCTTTGCATTTAAAATGACAAAACCAAGCAAATGACATTTAATGACAGATGTCATAATCATGCATAAAATCTCATTCATATTCACTGATGTGTCATGTCATAATTATAAATGTTTAATGACAGTCTCATGAACAACCCTTCAAGTAAAGTGTTACCCTATTTTTGTGCACATAACTAAAACATTAAGCGGTCTTAAAAGTCTTAAATGAGTTTTTGCGAGATGATTTTGTGCACTAACACTGCCTTAAGGCAGCCTCCTAAGCTTTTGTATGCAGCCACTGTTAAAACTATAAAAGCAATAATGAATAAAAATAATAGTATTAAGAAAAAGGAAAAGAAGAAGAAGAAGAAGAAGAAGAAACGAAGAATGATGATGATGATGATGATGATGATGATGATGATGATGAGGATTCGCCTATACTAAATACCTATAGTCGCAGAGTTTAGGTTGAGTCCCGCATTGCTGTTTGCACACGCCACAGTAGCTGGCGAGGGGTACATTTCCTTTGACCCACTGGTGGCAGAACTTGCCATCTGTCTGGTTCTGTGTCATGATCTCCTTACATGACAGAATGCGATCTGCTCTCTGTATGCACTGCTCATCCGAACATATACCACAGCAGTCACAAAAAGCCCCTTGCAGGATGGGCTGGCAGCACACGCAGCAGTAGGTGGGCTTGTTGAACAGGTCCGTGTAGTGCCAGCCGTGCTTGCTTTTTCGGAACAGATCTTTCAGCTGAATTTTTCGTTTAGGACGCTGGAAGCTGCACCAAAGTGTAATAAGCACTGGAACCAGAACAGCAAACGTGGTCCAAAGGAACAAAGTCCACTCCTCCCTCGGCTCTTCATTGTTTTCTTCCATAACCATAAATCTATTCGTCGTGTAAAACTGAGATCAATCGAGAATGGTCAAGAAATGCCAGCGAACGTCATCAATCAAGGTGATGTAGCTTTGAGACCCAGCAACAATCTTCCATTTCTAACCCCATCCGAGCAATCACATCAATCACGCAAGCCAGTGCTCAAAACCTGAGTCACACGGATGTAACAGAACGTACAGCCATCGTAAACATATCCTTGCTGTCAGGCAGTTGGTACAGCAAGACAAACTGTAACGTTACTCACAGCAGATGAAATACATACAGTCTTGTACTCTTTGTTTTCAAACAAGAAATTGCGTATTCATTTTTGTTTTCCGAGTAGTTTAAAAAGGCTCTAGTAGAAAACAAACCGCGCATAAAAATCTCACAAAAATCATCCTGTTCAATACACGGAAGCGGAAATGATGACGTAGGCTGATGACGATAAATTTTCAATGACCAATAGGAACAGTACGTGAGATAAAAGTAAATAAGAGTATGAATCTGTTCACGCTGTTTTATTTATCTGTTTTATAAGAAAAAACATAGACCGCTGACGAATGTTCCAAAGAATGTTATTAAAAGAATATTATGCGCACAATATACAATAATTGATTAAATAAATATAATTTGTAATAATCACTTGCCTATTTATTAAATGTCAAGGGAAATTTTTAACTAATTTTACCCTAATTAACATACAAAACCTAGGTAACACAACTACAAATCAATGTAATTATAATTCATAAAGTTCTAGGAAAATACATGTTTACTTTAGATACGAATGAAACATTTTACATTATTTTTTACATAGCATGCATCAAATGGTGAGACAATCTTGAGAGCATTTTGTAGCCTTATGCTCGGATAAGCTAGTATTAACAGTTTTTATTTATTTTGTAAATTAGTTCAGTTTAGTATTGAACTGTCAATGCAGCAAAATGTCACCGCATAACATCGTTAAACGTAAATCTAAGGGAAGAGGACATCTTGTGGAATATATCTGCAACTACATACTTATTTAGACGCTCACATGCAGGGGCCACTTGTGTCAAGCTGCAGGCCCGGCGACCCAACCGCTGCAGCTTCAATTGTGTCCGGTGCCCACATCCAGATTTGTGAGCACGCACCCAAAGACAATAAATAAATAAATAAATAAATAAATAAATAAATAAATAAATAAATTCATTCATTCATTCATTTTTTCAGCTTAGTCACTTTATTATTCTGGGGTCACCACAGCGGAATGAATTGGCAAGAAAGAAAGAAAGAAAGAAAGAAAGAAAGAAAGAAAGAAAGAAAGAAAGAAAGAAAGAAAGAAAGAGAAAGAGAAAGAGAAAGAGAAAGAGAAAGAAAGAAAGAAAGAAAGAAAAGAAAAGAAAGAGAAAGAAAAGAAAGAGAAAGAGAAAGAAAGAAAGAAAGAAAGAAAGAAAGAAAGAAAAAGAAATGTAAATGATTTTACAATCCGCCCCTTTGTGAGAGTCACTGAATAACGTCTCCTGTCTCCTCCTCAAAAGTTAAACACTCAAGTGCCGTTATTTCGAGCTGAGGACGAACAGAAAGGGAAAATGAAGCCGTTGGCTTGCCTTTTTTTCGTGGCCTTACTAACCTTCTTCACTGGTATGTTTTTCTATTGAAAATTTAGGAGTTTGATTTCAGTGTGTGATCTTTTCACGATGTGTAACTTGTTATGTAGCCTATAATTGTGTGTTATAGACTGTTTGGCATAAATAGCCGTTTCTGTAGACTATTCGTTTGATTCTTGTTTCAACGGCAATGTTATGGGAAACCGTAAAAACTTTGTTTCGTTGAATTACACATGGCGCCACGCACGTACGCACACACACACACACACACACACGCACGCACGCACGCACGCACGCACACACACACACACACACACACACACACACGTATATATAAGCTTATCTCGCTCATTTATTTCTTCATAAATACAGTTCAAATTGTAAAATTGCGAAATGTTGTTGTACTATAAAATAACTGTTCAATTTATAAATTATTTTGATAATTTTAAGTGATTTTAAAGATGAGTTTTCAGCTTCATTACATAGGCTATGGTCTTTCAGAAAGCACTAATATTAATAATAATAATAATAATAATAATTATTATTATTATTATTATTATTATTACTATTTGAAACTACATACAATAAGAAAGCTATCATTGATATTGTTTATAAATAATTAACAATTAAACACTTTTTTACATTTAACAAATGCCGCCTTGATGAACAGAGTACTTTTCTTAATTAAACATAAAAAACACATATACATGCCACGTCGGTGTTTACCGTGGTACAGTGTTTTCATGCCTCGCGCAGGTCAGAGCTCCAGGTCACGCGCGCGATAGCGCGCCCTCCTCGGAGAGAAACGATCATGAATGGTCACTTGTTTTATACAGAAAAACAGCTCTGGAAAGAGACGGTGGTGGGAAGGGAGGTCTGTGTAAAAGAGTGTGGGAGATGTAGACAGAGAAACGCCAAAATTCAAATTAGACCACCAAACAGGACAAAGTGTATAGACTAAAATGAAATTAGCTAACATTCTTTTCTTTTAATTTTTTACACCAAAGTAGGTGATTTTCTTTGTTACAACTAACCCAAACTATGGGCTGAACTGTAAAATTCACATGTTTAAAAACTGTTTAAAAAATTCAGTTTGTGATACAAATATGCCTTTTAATAGCAGAGAGTTTAGATTTTTTGAATCTGGCTTAAAAGATCTCAAAGATAAAGAGAAAGAAAAAAAGTTTACACGTTTCATCAGTCTCCCCTACTAATGTACTGTATATGTGTGTTATAGAAGCAAATCCCATCATTCAGGAGAGCTTCGCAAAGCAGCTACTTCGCACCAAGAGACAGAAGCCTGGACACCCTGATGAACCTATGAATGTGGGGAGCCAACAACAGAATATTCTATTCACATATTTATTAAGCTTTTGCAAACATCATACATTACATACTGACAGCAGTTCTCTGTAAGCTGAACGATTAACAAATAAGTCAGTTTATGCTTGTTTTAAATAAAAAAAAATTCTTAATGTCAGTATTCATTTTAGAGTTCGTTGTGTGTTTCAGGAACACTTGCTGCATATGCAGAGGCTGGAGCAGAAGGCTCGAGAGACCAATATGGAGCACTGGCTAAACCCTCATTGTTTCCCGCGGTGTGACCGCAACTACGGTTATCCTGTGTAACCAAACTGCATGATCTCATAGGTTCGGATACTTAGTACATATGCAATGCTTGAAATAAATAATGACATAATTAGGCGAACAAATTCATTTTAACAGTCAACTTTTTTTGAAAGTTAAACATTAAAAGAATTCTCTTTTTTTGTAGTAGCCTAATGTTTTTAGACAATATCTAAAATGAAAATAAACCCAGAATAATGCAAAATTAATAGACAAGAAATAACTGTTCTTCTGTAGGGTGAACTGTATAATAAAACTTATAATAAACCTTATATCCGACAAGCTATTAAATGTGTGATGTGTATAAATCTGTGCTGCTAAGTGGTTTTCTTTTCCAGGGTGAAGACAAAAATTTAGTTGACGACAATGCTGATGAATACAATAATATGGATAAAAAAGAAATGCTGAGATGAGGACACACGAAGCCGTGCACCCCGCCATCAATAGGATAAACCATTTTAACAAGCGATGCCATTTTAAATCAATAACTTAACGATTGACTAATTAATTAATCAATTAATTATTAACGAATTGCAAACATTTCTATTAAAAGACTTTTAACAGAATAAAAACTTTGTGCTCAAATTGTTGACTATTTACTGACTGCGCCTATTTTAATCGCATTATGCTACAGGACTGAACTTAAAACAATTGAGTAAAATCGAATCTATAACAGCTTTTTAAAGATTTCTGATGAGTAAGCCTAAACTGTACGTAAACACACGGCACTATCTGCAGGCCGTTGATCGAAAGCGCATTGAATGTGTGGCCTATACGTAAACATGGGTTTAACCATTGCCCCTTATCACCCATGCCCCTTATCACCCATCATGTGAATCGTTTTTTTACTTTTACATTTTGCACTGTGAATCGTTTTTTTTTTTTACATTTTCACAGTAGCCTATTTAGTGCCATTATGTTTTATTGAAGAAAGACTTGCTTCGTTTATTTTGATAGTTTTTATTTTTAAATGAACTTTTAAGGTTAATATTGGTATTAGCCACCTTTTAGGATTTTTTTCAACAATTTAGGCTTTTGTCCGACTTGCTTACTTAATATAATACTTAATAACCTTTTACGTCTTAAAATGACTCTTTATTGGGAATACTATCTTGCAAAATAACTGGTAAAATATTATGTAGGCTACTGAAATCATAGTATAGACCAAATAAAGATCACAGATCAATTTACAGGTTATTTAAGTGCTATGACACATTCTTAAGTTTGCAACGTCTAGGTTTTTCAGTTTAAAAGTAGCCTATATCAGGTTTAAATGGCAATGTGGGGACAAGAGGAGCATTTAAGTTTCACTATAATAGCCATACCTTATTTTCATCTTCACGTTAGTTTAGTGTTTGGTTTCATATGTTTTATCTAAATAAGGCATATTACCAATAATAATAAATATTCAAAAACGTTAGATATTTTTAACATTTTGCATTATTAGGTTTAATTATTGGGTTGAAATTTAAAATGAAAATGTAATTTAATATTTTTTGCAAAATAAAGGACAAAATATGTTTGCGCATAGCATTAACAGATATATTTAAGCCAGTAAATCCAACACATATTGCTGTATTACACGTGTGCGTTACAATGTGTTACAAATATAAACAACGTGCAATTTATAGTTGGAGTGAAATTATTTGTTCTACATTTCTACAAAATACTGCGCAAACCGGCGCAGTTAATGAGCCGATTACTTTTTACCTTTTAAATAAACGTGTACTGTTTTTTATAGTATTTTTTTAAACACAAAACTATTTTTCTTTTTACATTACGATCTGTATGCTGAAACAAGCCTATATGATTTAGTACGTCTCATTGAATATGGACAGTGCTCGTGCTTATTATTGATTCCATTTGTGCTATTTATAGACCCACGCATCAATCGCCCCACAAAAATAAAAATAAATACTAGAACTATACTAAATAAATATTGATTAAAGCTGGCGTTAAAATAAGACAAAAGAAACGTTAATTACTGTGGTTTACTTTTTAGTTTGATTTGAAAATTTGAATTTCATTTGACACTTTTTAATATGCATATTAAGTTTGTTGTACCATGGAACAAGCATACAAGGTAACTGACAATATAAGCTGATATAAGTGATAAAATTCCAAAGAAATTTACTTTACATTTCACATAATGACAAGAGGTAATATTGTGAGGCTAGTTGTGAAAAATGCCAATGTATGGTAGTTTTAATATTATTGTAGACATTGACTATAATGGGCAATATAGAGACAATAAACTAATTAAAACATATTTACAACAAATGAGAACTCCTGTGTTTTTGAATGCAGTTTTAGCTTTGTTGGACATGTCTACTGCATGCACTCCTCTTAAAGCAGCAGTTTCACAATAAATACAGATTTCAGTGTGACAGAAAAAGTTTCATACACAATGTGGAATATTTATAACAAAAATGACTTGTATGAAGATGGAAAATATAAATCATGTTTTGTCTTTGAAGAAGCCTTCATCTGTATTACTCTCTTTGATTGTTACAGTCAGGAAGTTTGTGGTCACATCAGTAACTATAACTTTCTCCACATTTATGAAGGAGGGTCTCCAAGCATCTTCCACCCCAGGCTCTCTGAATATATGCGACACTGGGATTTTGGCAATAAGTGAAGGCTGTCTGCTGGTGGAATCACCATGTTCAAGTGTTCTTTTTTTTGAATAGTGCTTTAGGTGTTTCTGGTGAAAGTGGTTTGATTGTGGATTAGTCCTGTGGCCCAGTAAGCCTGCCTCCATTCTGCTGGAATGCAAACTCCACTGTGGAGAAATGTGCAGGGTACTCCTGCTTGGAATGACGTTGCTTTGTTTGTGTGAACAGGTAGCATCCAAGTCCTTGTGAGATATTTTAAGTCTCCCACTTATGTCAGGGCATCTCTCATCATCTTCCCCCAAACCTAACTTAGCCATTTTAGAAGGAATGCTTGCCATGGTTTCATCTGCTGCCCGTTTTACATGCTCTGGATGCAAATTGCTTATATACCCATCTGTGAAGCGTAATTTGGGCTTCCGTCCTCTCTTTTTTGGGGTAAGGCTAAATTCATCTGTGGGTCTTGGTGAGTGTGGCGAATGATGCTCTCTTGGTTCTGGGGACTGAAGCCTTACACTCTCACCACGGTTGACTGTGCTGGGAGGGAAAATGGTGGGAACCACAGCGCGAAGGCCCTCTCTCGCTCTAGGGGCTACTACAGGCTCTGGACTGGAATATGTAACATGAATGCCTCTAGTTGAGTCATTCCTAAATTCATACGACTTTGCCTTTTCTTTAGCTTGGGCCTGCAAATGGGATTTTTAAAGATTAATGCAGAATACTGTGCAGAACAGATACTGACTTTTTTACATACATAAAAAAGCTTAGTGACAGCTCAAGGATAAGTGAACATAACAAGAAAAATAAATTTCACCAAAAATATCTTGAAAAATAATGTAATTAAAAAACAAACCTTTAGGAGAAAAGTCTTGAGTTTTGGCCCTCGTTTCTTGGGACCAAATATTTCTCGCTCACGCTCCCTGAATAAAAAAACAAAAGCATGAGTGAATAATTTTTTTTGTTGTATTATCAATTATATTTTTACATTTCCATTACCTCTCTTCAAATGCGACGAAAAGACGCGGGTCTAGGATATTTTCCTCTGGTTCCCAAGTACTGTACCTGTGAAAAGAATAAGTTTCAAGTGATAAATGTTGATCTTTGGCTAAATTTAAACTACCACTTTACTGCCAGGCTAGCAGGAGACATTGTAAAAAACTTAATGGCTTAATGTACCTAAACATCAACAAGAGAAGCCCAAATTTTAGCCAAACGTGACTTGTAATTAACACTAATGTAAAAATCAAATGTTTCTACCACAGAAGTCTATTATAAGAAAAAAGCTTAACATGGCATAATGTACCTTAACAACAAGTGGGGAAAACCACTTAAAAATTTCAATCAGACTGTACTCATGACAAACACTTTTCTGTTGTCAAAAGACTGAGCTCTTATTTCTGTGATTGAAAACTATGACATTTAGCATTTTCTTCATATTAAAGTCCATTATAAAAGTAAACAGCATAGCATGGCTTAGTGTATCTTACCATGTGGGGAAAACCAAAAATATATCAAATTTTACTTGTAATTAACACAAACTACTACCAAAAGGTTAAGCCTTAATTGCGTAGATAAAGTGAACAATGTCACATTAAGCATTTTATCCCCATTAAAGTCATTATAAAAGCTTGATGTGGTTCCACCAAGAAACAATCAAAATTTCTATAAAAACACTCACAATAAACACTTTCTCCTGCCAAAAGATCAAGCTTCTATTTAGTGCATAAAGTGAACATTATCACTTTAAGTATTCTTAACGTGACTCTGTCTGGGTAAAACAAATTAAAATAAAATTCAATACTTTCTGCTGTCAGGGAATGCTCTTGTGTTCATGTCACTGACCCCCCAATAACATCCTACAGGGAGAAAGTGTAACATAATATTGTTCTCACTTCAGAAGTGAAAACAGGGCTCATTCTTCTGATTATTTAACAAGTTAGTTAGTTACTATTTACAAGTAAAAGTTGACATAAATGTGTTTTTTGTTTAGGTACGGGTAGCTACACGTTATGCTTTTTCCTTTTAAATGTGTTATTGTTCACTCTATCTATGGAATTGCGACTTCTTTTTTCACAGATAGTGTTAATTACAAATAAGGTTGGACGGAAATTTCGGTTTCTGGTTGATGTTTAGGTACAATTAGCCACGTCAAGCGTTTTTCACCTTGTGTGTTTTAGAATAACCCGTTGACAGGGCCAGCTAAATGTTGCAGCATGTCATCTGTCAAAACCAGTGTGCAGCAATAACCAGAAGCTAACCTGTCAATGAGAATATATGGCCCTCGCAACATCTAGAAGGGCTGACAGCCATCGCTGTCACAAAACACCAAAACAAGGAACAACAGACAAAATAGGTATTACTTACTTAGGTGACCAACCCTTCCATTTCACGAGATATTCCATGTGACCCTGCGCGTGCCGTCAAACAGAAAAAAATCGTTAACGCTAATGAAAGCCGACGACATGAGCAGACATGTAACGTTACAGAATATGTCGACATCATTCTTGGACAACATTCCCCCACACATACCCGGCGTATTCGTCTCTTGATGATCGATTCAGCAGCAAACACCCTCTCCCCGACAGCCGACAGCTCCATGTTTTCCTTCTACCGTTAGCTTGCAGCGAAGCTAGCTGAGCGCAAGCTCTGTCCGCCTACTGCTCTAGCTTCAGAATTGCACACAGCCCATAATACTCTCACACACAACCAGACGTCATCACGTTTTTTATCATGTTGCCTTGGCACCGCTTGAGGGTGGAAACCATAAGTGGAAACATTTCGATCATTGGCTCAGCTGTTGCTAGGTTGCTTGCTTTGGGAGTGGACAGGCGGGGCTACCTGTTTGAAAAGAAGTGTGAACGCCACAGAGGGTAAACTTAATCGTATTAATTACATTATAATTAGAACATAGGGATGTATAATCATATAAACGTAAACAGAAGAAGGATTACCTATAGTTCTTCTTTTCTAAACAAACACAATCTGAGATTTGAAAGGTCATTTGCCAATAACAAATTTTCTGCTGAGTATTCCGCGTAAATCAGATTCTCCTTTTTACATGTAGCCTTACGACAAAATCCATGTCATGAAAATGATCACACGTTATCCAGTAACGCTAGTCCACTTGGAAGTTTTAATTTCAAATTTCCCTTTCGAAAAAAAAAAAAAATAGACAGGTTTATATAATCATTTCATATACATATAGGTTATTTGTTATATCTTTAGGCTATTTTGCAGCCATAAGTAATTGAGACATTATAATAAAATACAAACAGCGATGATAATATTCCATTCATTAATATTGTCAAATTTTGGTTTAAAATAAAAAATTCATTCATTCATTTTCTTGTCACCTTAGACCCTTTATTAATCCGGGGTCGCCACAGCGGAATGAACCACCATCTTATCCAGCAAGTTTTTACGCAGCGGATGCCCTTCCAACCGCAACCCATCTCTGGGAAACATCCACACACACATTCACATACACACTCATACACTACGGACAATTTAGCCTATCCAATTCACCTGTACCGCATGTCTTTGGACTGTGGGGGAAACCGAAGCACCCGGAGGAAACCCACACGAAGGCAGGAAGAACATGCAAACTCCACACAGAAACGCCAACTGAGCCAAGGTTCGAACCAGCGACCCTGCGACCTTTTTGCTGTGAGGCGACAGCACTACCTACTGCGCCACTGCCTCGCCTAAAATAAAAAATACAGCACAATAATAAATTATTATTCTATAAAGGAAATAGAAAAGGCAGTCCTAAACAATTTATGTTTATCAAGTCTAGATAATTGCTATTAATAAACCATAATGTTAATGTAAATATTCGTTGATTGTTTGTAATGAACCAATCAAGGCCAATTTATAAAAAGCAACTATAGAGCCTTTTTGGAGAATAGCTTGCCAAATTATACATTTTTTTGGTGACAACAAATAAAATAGCCTTTTTTTATTACAAATAAAACTAACAAATAGCCTATTGTGGATATTATCTCTTCCAAAAAATTAACACAAAAAATATTTTAAGGAAGGTTTTTTTTTTTGTCTTTTCATTGGTCCCGTATGAGATGTCAAACAGTGGTGCGGCCGCCATTTGTGTGATCGAACTATGCTGTCAGCAGGGATGGGCAAAAATACATTGAAATACATTTCTTCGCAAACCTTACTTCAATAGGCATATTTGATCAATCCCTTCACCATTAAACTGACTTTCTCTTTCATTTTAGCATTCATTTTGTACAAATTTCATACAGAAAATCCTGTCTTGAAGATGATCTGTTAAATCACTCTAAAAACATTCTAATGCAGATGATGAGTTAATAATATAGTACTATTTATCTTTATTGTGTTTCCATCCATTGCATGGCCAATGAAATTGCAACCATCGCCTAACAGTCTTATATTTTAAAGGGTGATATATAAAGATGTTAAATTATTTATTTTTGTTCAATAAATGTAGTTTTTAAAATCTTCAATACTTAATGTAAAACCACGATGTCTGAAAGCTACTAAAACTAGTATGTTGTTTGTCTTATTTTCTTGGCATCTACATCAGCAATCCATCTAAAACTACTATTACTACTATACTGATTTGTACAGTAAACTCATTATTCCCAGATGTTTTCAGTTCATCTTTAACTGAAACAGTCTATTTACCCTATAAGTGAACACTACAATCTTTAGGTGTTTTATATTTCTAAACATTCTCTGCATTTCCACCTGCAGCACTGAGACTGAGAATGATTATGGGCTGAAGGCTTCACATACTGTTCTTAAGAACTGATATTTTATCTCATTTCTTCAGCAAAGATGCTGATCCAAATTGTACACTAAACTGTCATTACAGATTACTGGTCTTAGCATTGTGTAGTATACTATTTTTAATGATTGTGGACTTGTTTCCAAATCTACCCATGCCATTTATCAGTTATTTCCTTTGGGCCCTATCATACACCTGGTGCAATAAGTTGCAAGACGGGTTTGCCTCGTCATTTTGCTATTTTCAGACCAGCGCAACCTTAATTTTCCCGTTTTGCACCACGTTGTTTAAATAGTAAATTCACTTGTGCCACTCTGTGGACTCATGGGTGTTCCGGTCTAGAAAAGAGGTGTGTTAAGGCGCATTGTTGTAGCATTGCTATTTTGATAATACACACAGGATGTACAGCAATACACAGATATCTTACACAAATATCTTTACATATAAAAACAATTAAACAATTAAAATGTTACAAAAAATATTTTCTACATAAATATAAAAACCACTGCCTCCAGGCCTTCTTTACCTCGAGGGGCTTTTTCAGTGTATTCTTGACTATCTGCATTTGTAAAATATTATTATTATTAGCAGTATTATTTATTATATGCACCTTTATATTTGTTTTAATAAAAGCAAGTTTAGATTTATCCACCTGTGGGGTTTTAGAGAAGTCTGCATCACCATATGGGACTTAAGAACAGGATGTATGTTTGGATATTACTCAGTTTATTGACTTCGTTATTAATGTACATTTATCCATTTGCTCGAAATAAGAACTGAATTTAGTTTTAAAACCTTAATATAAATCTTTGTGCTCAACAAACTAAATTAAATATATAGGCTGATGGGTGTCTTCATGTCCAACACCGTTTTCTTACTCCAACCAAAGTAAAGGAGTAAAGAAAAAGTAAAGAGGCTGAATGGATGAGGCACATTCTCTATTTTTGCTGCAGATGGTCTGTTTAACTGTTTTCTCGTTAGTGAAGTGTTCAGTTTTTCCATTAAGTTCATCCACTTACAAATTCACTATGTACATAGTAAATGCACCACGGTGGGACGCAACTGACTCTTAAAGGGAATGGGAGATAGGACTCTGATTGGTGTAATGCACGTTATGCTCAAAACACACCCAGAACTCATTAAGAGAATAAGCACAACCCTGTTAGATCATGTGCCATGGCACAAACCATATTTTTCTGTCATTAAAATATCACAAGTGGATTTGGACACACCCTAAATGCTTTTGCGCCATGATTTAGACTCCGCACCTACATGGTTAAAATTGAACCCTTTATGTGTGTTGCATAATTTCCATTCGTACTTTAAGCACTGACAACCATCTTAATCAATTTTCTGTTCAGGTGTCAAGCCTATAGGCAAATAACTGAGAAAGCATCAATCTGAAGCACCATTGTTTATAATGTCTAAATGTATATTTCTTACAACGTATTTTACAGTATTTTAAAATACAAACAAGACACTAAAGTGTTTTGATACAAAATACTAACCCATTTTCATCAACTCCATAAAATTCAAAGGACAATTTTTTTTTTTTGTAATTAAAATACATATTTTAAATACATCAGAAATACTGCCCATCTCTGGCTGTCAGTCTCATAGACATTATATAATGTCAATGGCATAATTTCAAAGAACTGTTATAATTTCAAGAACTGTCATAATTCAAAAGTACTGTTCTCTACTAATAACACCATACTTCAGCCTGTTGTTTCTCCACCAATTTCTTCATCTGTTGATAGCTGTGAAAAATTTCTGCATTTTTTTGCTAATAAGATTGTTGGAATTCGTTCACAGATTTCACCTGCAGTCAGTGTTTCTAAAATTTCTGTTGCCGACCTTAAAAAATCTAGCCAGCTTAATTCCTGTGTCTCTGTCACAACTTAATGTCATTGTTGCACATATGAAGCCTTCTGGTTTGTCCTGTGATGTCATTCCTGCCACCTTATTTAAGGAGGCGATGCGCTCAATTGGTCCAAGTGTGCTTTCAATCATAAATAGTAATCTCTCTACTGGTATCGTTCCTAGTAGTTTTAAACATGCTGTTATTCAGCCCCTGCTAAAGAAAGCAAATCTTGATGCTTCAGACATGAAGAATTTTCGCCCTATATTTCTAAATTGCCTATTATCTCAAAGATTTTAGAGAAGGCTGTGTCTGTACAACTAAATGAGTTTCTGGCTAATAATAATATTTTTGATAAGTTTCAGTCTGGTTTTAGAGCTCGTCATAGCACAGAGTCCGCTCTATTGAGGGTTTCAAACGATATTTTGTTGGAGGTTGATTCAGGTAGCCCTGTTGTTCTTGTACTGTTGGATCTCACTGCTGCTTTTGATACAGTGGATGATGACATTCTCACTGATCGGCTTAGAGAACACACTGGTATCCAGGGTCTGGCCTTAGATTGGTTCCCCTCATATCTGAAGGATAGAACTATATCAGTCAGTTTTGGCAACTCCTCTTCATTTGTCATGCAATTAATGTGTGGGGTTCCGCAAGGCTCAATACTGGGTCCTGTTTTGTTCTCCCTTTACTTCCGTTAGGAAAAATTTTTGAAAAGCATGGCATAAATTACCATCTATATGCTGATGACTCTCAAATCTACTTCCCTATAAAATCTAGGGATCAGTCCTTCCTTCAGGCTTTGCTTAATTGTTTGGCTGAGGTGAAGTGTTGGTTGGCAAATAACTTTCTCCAACTGAATGAAGACAAGTGCGAATTTATTGTTTTTGGCCTAAAAGGTTCGGATTCTAATGGCAATCTGTCATTGCTTCCTGGGAAAATACATTCCTCTGTAAAGAGTCTTGGTGTCATCTTTGACTCTGAGCTAAAATTTGATCGGCAAATTAATGCTGTTGTCAAAAATAGTTTTTTCTTTTTT